CCCTCCCAGCCGCGACTTCTCGGTCTCATCCTCCTGCCGTACCGAAAGGAGGAGGTTCAGCTCAGCCCGCAAGAGCATGATGTCCACGGTGACAGAAGCCACTCGGGCGATGTCTGGTTCTAGGAGATGCTCTGGGAAGCACAGCCCGTCCCCCTGCTCTTCAGAGTAGCCGTAGAGGCGAAGAACATCGCGGCCGCCCTGTCGGAAAAGCGCAATCCAGGGTTCAGAAGACGGCAGAATGGGGGTTAGAAATCACAGAATTATGGAGTGGGAAGGGGGACCTCTGAGGCCATCAAGTTCGACCGCCTGCTCAAGGCAGAATTCCTAGTCAAAGCAGATCGGACAAGAGGGTTTCCTCAATTTTCTCTTGAAGGCCTCCAGTATTGAAGCGCTCACCATCTCCCCGAGGTCATGGGTCCCATTGTCGTACTGCTTGAACAGTTAATAAGTTTTTTCCCATTAATAATGATAAGGTTTCCCTTTAGCATGAAAAGCGTTTGGTCATCACCTTCTGAATCTTTAACAGGCTTAAACCCAGGGCAGCCACTCAAACACTCATGCTATGTTTTCATAACACCCACTTTCCATTTAGCTGCTATGTTCTGAGCTCCCTGACCTTTCTGGGCAGTCTCCAAAGGCAGCCCCACACACAACATGTTGCAGTAGTCCAACATAAAAAGTGGCTAGCACATGGAAAACGGAGCTGATCCCTTCTCTTTGGAGAAGGGGTCGCGGCCGATGTACTGTATTTGCTGAAGTGGGAAAGTTCCTTGAATGAGCACCCCCCGCAACCCAAATTTTTCAAGGGGAGCCCAGCGCCACCCATAGCAAGTGGAATGCCTGCTACAGAGATGAAAACTGGCCCTTCTCTAGTCCATTCTCCAACCAGAGATTAAGGAAAAAGAGGAGGAGTGACGTTGAACCGTTAAACTTCACTCCCATCTTTCCAGTGATCTCCCATGGTGGTTTTGCGTACATGCAAACAGACACAACGAGGAGCGCAAGATGGACCAGGGTGAAATGCGACATCACAAACATACAACTACGCTTTACAATAAACATGCTACGTCCAGAACTGTATCCCTCAACAAATCCTGAAAAACAAGCATCTTTCTCACCTTGATGGTGTCCACCGTGTCCCGGAAGACGGGGTTGTTGAACTTGACCATCCGCCAGAAACGAGGCTTGAGGGGGGTCAATAAGTTGCGGCCGTATTTCTCCAGGATGTTCAAGGCAACTGAGACAGTGCGAAGGTCCTTTAAGATCTGGAAGGGAAGTGGGACATCGGGAGCTGTCTCTCTCTCTTGCAGGGACCCGCCGTGGCCTCGCTGAAGACTCTCAATTTCGCTTTAGGAACCACCCAGAGACGCTCGAATCGTAAGGCCTTGAACATCATTGCTCGGGCATTATGCAACAGAGGTTCAAATCCTGCCTTTTCTGCACCAGATGCTGCTAAATTCTACCTTTCCATACTTTAAATACAACTTGAACTCTTATCGTGGCCTTTTTCCGGGCACCTCCAAACCAACATTTTGGAGACCCTAAATAGGATGAGTGCTTCTAAATCTTAATTTTTCAAAACATTCTCAGTAGGCTGCTATTAATTCTTCTTTAATAGACCCTAAACAGGATGAGTTTACATTCTGTTGCTTCTAAATCTTAATTTTTCATAACATTTTCAGTAGGCTGCTATTAATTCTTCTTTAATATTTGAATCATTTACCGTTCTTAGTTCCTAATATTTTGATTTTAACGATGCAAGCCACCCAGAGTCCTTTTTTTTGCAGGGGCAAGGCCGGGTAATCATATTTTAAATAAAGAAATGAAATGAAGCACTGTCCAACTTTCCCCCTGTTTCCTAGCTCGGATGTGGACCTAATTTCTCCCCCTATATACTCGGTTCCCTGCCCTGTATCTTCTCTCTCCAGCCCCCTGAGGTGGTAGTGGGATCACAGGCTGAAGTTCAGCAGGTAAAGCTTCCGCCTGCCCAACGTCAGCCGGCTCGCCAACCGTTTGAAGATCTCCCAGAGAGGAAGGGAAAAAAGCCACCGCCTGCTTGCTCCATGGCTTAAAAAAGGTGACCCCCGTCTCCCGCCCTCGGCTCAGGTTTTTTTGGTTCCACCCCTTACCTCTCCCTGAGCGTTGTCCCGGATAAGATCTTTCGCGTCTATTTCCCGGTATTTTTGTTCGAACGGCAACGCCAGCTCCACCATGCCCTGTACAGATTCGGGGTTCTGCTCCGTCGGGTTTCTGAACAAGGACGCCATCAGCTCGTCCCGCAGGGCTGTAAATTTGCTCTCGGCCGCTTCCATGTCTAGTATCACAGGGGTGGAGAGGGGTCCAGAGAAAAGAAGGGAGCACAAAACGAGACTATCTTATCATCATCATCATCATTATCATCATCTTAGACCTGCAGAGCTCTACAGATCAACAGACCCTATAGATCAGTGGTTCCTAAGCTTTTCTTTACCATGGACCCCCTTTAGGATCAGTGGTTCCTAACCTTTTCTTTACTACGGACCCCCTTTAAATAACTTTTGTTGCCGTGGACCACCAAGACTCAATTTTATTGCCGTGGACCACCAAGACTCAAGTCAAGGGTTTAAAACCCTAAAAGTGCATCAAATTATTTATTTAAAGTTTCTCATGAAAGGTCTTCAAACGTGGAGAGAAGGCAGCAATAAGTTAATCTGTTAATGCACACAACTCCTATTATAACATTCTTATTGGAATCATTCAATACAAATTTAAAAGGAGGAGGAGGATAACAATAAGAACAACAATCATCATAACCATCATTTCCGGATTGGATTTCCGGATCCAGACACCTTGAATGTAACACACCAGACATAGATCCAAAAGACGCCTTGAATGTAACACAACAGACATAGTAGTAATAGAATGAAGAAATGTCTGCATCGTTGACATTGCAATTCTGGGGTATGCTGGAGTTGAAAATAAAGAACTGGAAAAACCAACAAAATGCAGAGATCTGGCCATCGAAATATCTCGCTTGTGGATGAAACACATTTCCGTGGTCCCCATCGTCATTGGGGCTTTGGGAACAATATCAAGAAATTTCACACAGTACTATAAGCAGTTGTAGATCTCAGACCATCATAGGTGCAAAAAAATGGAAATATTAGGAACAGCATACCATCAGAGGTGCAAAAAATGGAAATATTAGGAACAGCATACATACTACCCCGATATTTAAGAGATACTTAGGTTTTTGGTTAAAACTTGTATCTGTTATATAATACCAGTCAATGTTTTCATGATCTTGATTGATTATCGCTTTGTGGTTTTGTATAATAATAATAATAATAATAATAATAATAATAATAATAATAATAATAATAATAATAATAATAAGTCTTGAACCCTAGACTAGACAGCATCAAGACTAGCCCCAGTTCAAGAGGCCCGGGGTGGTGGTGGTGGGGATCGAACTCATGACTGCCAAAACCACCGAGCCATCCAGCAGTTCAGAACCTCCACAGCGGCAGCCAAAACACTTTTCTCCAAGCAAGTTAAGGCAGGGGGAACCCCCATTTTATCCTCACGACAGCCCTGTGAGGTTGCCCCTACTTTTCTCCAAGCAAGTCAAGGCAGGGGGGAACCTCCATTTTATCCTCACGACAGCCCTGCGAGGTTGCCCCTCAGTAGAGGAGAGGGGGGGGGAATCCCAGCCGGGGTTCCTTGCTGCCTGCAATTCAGTATTTCCTGCCTCCAAATGGGTTCTCCCCCCCCACCCCGAATTCTGTTGCAGGATCCAACCTCTGGGCCCTGCTTTGCAGAAGACATAAAAGCTAAATCTTGAGGAAGTTACTTTTGTCGAAAGGATACCTTCTGAGGGCAGAAAAAAAGATTGTGTGGGGGGGGAGAGAGGACAGCAAGTGCACAAAGACAATTTGTTAGAAAGCATTTTTATGGCTTTCAGAGTGTGGAAATATTGCTTTTTGGACTACAGTTCCCAACATGTCTGTGGGATTATGGGAACTGTAGTTTTTTTAAAAAAAAACAACAACCAGGTAATAACCCCACCACATTTCCAAGGGGTGTTTGCTACCATCTGCTGTGGTACAGTACCACCAACTTCATTCAGACCCTAAAGGATTATGGGAACTGTAGTCCAAAAAAAAAAATTCCAAACACAACCCAGTTAAAACAACAACAACACTTTCCTACGGTCTGTTGTTCTACTACCGACTTCATTCAGACTTTGGACTTAAAAAAAAAGTGGGAGAGGGGAGGAATTCAAATTTTGGACTACAAGTCCCAGCATCCACCCATCCCCCAACGTCCAGAATTGGGGTGTCTAGTTACGTCCCAACGGGAACCCCCCCAAAGGCACCGGATCCGGGTTTGATCCCGCGGAGGGGGAAGTTGCAAAGGCGTTTGGAAAGGGGGTGGTGGTGGTGGTGTGTCTCCTCGAGAGGAGAGGGAAGGAGGTGGGGGGAGGGAATCCCTTACCTGATTGGGGGGATCGTGGAGGACCCTCTCGAAGCCGCAACAGCTGATGGCAAAGCGCAGGAAGGAGGCGGATGATGGCGGGGGTGTGTGTGTGTGAAAGCGAAAGAGGAAGGAGCCGAGCAAAAGCTCCCAACCCGTCGCCCCGCCAGCCCGGGAGGAAGAACTGCAAGAGCCCGGCTTGGGTCCGGGGGGGGGCGACCAGGGTGCCTCTGAGCGCATGCAGAGTGCCTCCGATCGCGACACAGCGACACCCCCCCGACCCCCCTCGGGGGCAGCCGGCGATCTGCTTTTGGGATTTCTGCGGCCGGGAGTAGAAAGAGAGAGAGAGAGAAGTAAAACTTGTGAAAAGTTTCTTGGGAGGGGGGACTACAACTCCCATGAACCCCCCCTCTAACCGGGATGGTGGGGGTTGTAGTCCCTCCCCCAAGGTCGCTTTTCCCCCAAGCTCTTTCTCTGACCCCGGTGGCCAGGAAGGAAAAAATAATAATGACGACCTAACGAAGCTGGCGATTTCGTGTTTTTTAAAAATCTAATTTAATTGTGCATTTAATTTTTAAAAAAAGGGTTATCGGGGCGTTGGGTAGGATTGGGGGTGGGTGTATTTTTAAATTTGAGAGGGGGATTCGTAAGATTTCCAGGGGCGCCTCGAGAAGGAGGGGGGTGGTCCCAAGAGTTTGGAAGGAGATTCGCGGGCGGGGGATGCTAGGCATTGTAGTCCCCCCAAAGGCACGCTCCCGAGCTCCGGGGTAAGGGGTAGGGTGGGGGGGGGGCTTCATTTTGTGACAAACACATACCCACATACACACCCCCTTTCTCTTTTGAGAGCCTCCTTCCCGGGAAGGGCGGCGACACGGGATGGGGCGGGGCGTGAACGTGTGAATGCGAAAGCGAAAGGCCCCGAAGGGGCCCGCGTTGCTCCCGTCGGTCGGTTCCGCAAAGAAACGGTCGTTAGAACGGAGGCTGGTGCTGTTTGGACTCCTCTTTGAAGGCAGACCCCCCCCCGACACACACCGTCATGGCCAAATCCTGCACCGCCATCCGGGTCAGCAAAGAGTCCCGTGAAAAGGTGGGAACGGAAAAGGGGGATATTGTGTGTGTGTGTGTGTGTGTGCGCGTGCCCTGGCAGGGAAGGAAAAGTCTGGGTTTCTTTCCTTCCAGAGGGAGGGGGAGGTCCCCAAACTTTGGGTCGTTCTCATGGTTCTCTCTTAAGGGTCAGCAAGAGCAGCTCTGAACATGTGCAGAAGGCACTCTCCGCCCCCAAAGGCCGCCACCACCCCCGCCTCCCAACCTCTCTTGTTCTGCTCTGTTCCGGGCGGGGGGGACAGAAGCGGACTCTTTAAACCTGTTCTGGCTTGCTTTTAGTAGTGGCAAGGGGATTCTGGGAATTGTAGTCCGAAAAGCCATGTTTCCCAAGCTCTGAGGCTTGGCTTTACAAAACCGTGGTTTGGGGGGGGGGATTGTAGGGCCAAGAAAAAGATCACCCTGCATGCCAGCAAAAAAAATAAATTAAAAATAAGCAGCGGCACTAAAGGCTGCCCACATGGGATTTGTGGTGTTGGGGCTTCGCTGCCTGCTTGATGAAGCTTTGGTTCCTTGTGGACCGACGCATTTGGTAAATCCTTCTCCTCCTCTTAGAACTGCAGGTCTTGAAGGGAGGACCCCAGGGATCATGGAGTCTGGTCCCTGTCCAGGAGGCCCTGTGGGGACTCAAACTCCTAGCCGCCTCAACCACGGAGCTGTTCATGGAGGGAGGGCCCAGGTGGTTCTTCCTGGAGAGGGACTTGCCTACACCACAGTATTATATTTTAATATAAGCTTTCCCACAGGTTCTGTTTCTCAAAGAGGAATAAATGGTATATTTCGCACTCGTGGCCTCCTCTTCTAACATTGCTTTCAAGCACGTTGTCTTGATGCAGACAGAGTTCACTTCCAGAGAACCTGCTGAGGGTTTCCCCTTTCAGTTTTAGAAGTCACTTCAGAGATGATGGGTGCCGGAACCAGATCTTAGAGGCCTTATTATTATTATTATTTCTTTTGGACTACGACTCCCAGAATCCCCTAGGCAGCTATGGGAGTTGTAGTATCTCCCCTTTTCTCCCCCTCAAAAGGCACAACTTCCAAGCTCTGGTGATCAATAACACCTGTGGGTTGTTAGTGGGAAGAATGAGGGGAGCAAGCAAATTTATTTGTAATTGGGAGGGCTTTTTTTGTCACCCCCAAAGATAATTTAAAAACAAAAAACAGCCACAGTTCTTGGTCATCTTCTCCAGAAATCTACAACTCATCTTGCAGTCTTTCGCTTTTCTTTTCTGTCAGATAATGCTCCTGCTTCCAGATAACCCCCAAATCCCCTTTTTTTCATTGCTTTAGCAAATTACAGAGGGATGAAGTCTTTTTTTTAAAAAAAAAAAAAGCAGTTGAATTCAGAGCTACAAGTAAACTTCTTTATTCTTGCCTCGATCTAGTTTACAGTGTGATCTTTTGCATTTTACTCCTTTTTTTTGCATCACAAAAGTTGATGACAACTGGTGGTTGTTTGTAGGCCATTTTCTGACAGCAACCATTTCCGTCACGGAAAATATTCCATGTGTTCCCACTTCAGCTGTTTCCCGGGAGGTCGGATGAAGCCACATCCCAAAATGTTTCGTTGTTCTGAATGGTAAAGAACACAACAGCCTACCCCCTACCTGGAGGACTCCAGTTGTGTTTGACTACAAATCCCACCACCCCAGGGGGCACAGCAACCCACGATGCACCGCCACTATGAAAGATAGTTCTGTTCGAACTGTGCAGCGTTGTGCTTTGTGGGCGGATCCGTTGTGCAGGCAGAATGGTGGCAGATCTTCAAGGAGGCAAAAAAGAAGTTCTAGTTAGAGTAGACCCAATTGAATCAATGGCACTATAATTCAGAATCGACTGCGCATTCATTAGTATTGTTATTCAAAAAACCCAGGCACAGTCGAAATTATAAAAACAGATGCAAGTTTTAACCAAAAACCTAAGTATCTGTTAAATATCAGCGCAGTATATATGCTGTTCTTAATATTGCCATTTTTTTGTGCCTCTGAGGGTGTGATTTCGGAGATCTGCAACTGCTTATAGTACTGTGATGATGATGATGATGATTAACCAAATCTCCACTGATTCAGTGGGCCTACTCTAGTTGCAACGTATTATACTAAGCAGAAGAGTCGGTATACTAAGTCACGAAGAGTCGGATGCGAGTAAACGACGACGATACTAAGCAGAATTCCAGTCGTTATTATACTAAGCAGCCAGAGTCGGTATACTAAGTCACAAAGAATCGGACACGACTAAACAATGACGATACTAAGCAGAATTCCAGTCGTTATTTCCATGTATTTCTTTACGTTGGACCCCAGAACTGGTTGCCTTTCATAATCTCTTTTCTTTTTCCCTAGATGGCCCTTTTCCGAGAGACCCTTTTCAAAGAGGTAGGTCCTTGCATGCCCCCCACTGAACACCTTCCCAGATTGCACCCCCCAGGTCCCCAAGCTAACTGATCTTTCCTCTCTCTCTCTCCCCCCCCCCCCACATGTCTACAGGGTGAAGAATTCCTTTGCACGTTTCTCCCGAAAAAAATACTCCAGTTGGATCAGCTCCTCAAGGTAAGAGAACCGCGATAATAACCCTCAAGGTAGACCCCATCGTTTTTGGGAGATGGGTTTCTCTCGCATCCCGTTTTCTTCTCCCTATATTTTCATCCTTATCCCCTTTTTTCCCCAGGAGGATGCGATGAACCTTCAAGATTTCAATTCTCTCCGGGCTCCCCTGGATATCCCAATCCCAGACCCACCCCCCAAAGATGATGAGGTGGGTTACTTTAAAGGGTTCTTCTCTCCCCAAAAAGATTTCAGTTACAGCCTATAAGGAAAAGCGTTACTCGGGACTTGTTGTGTTTTTTTCCCTACAGATGGAAACTGAGAAGGAGGAGAAAGAAGGTGAGGCAAAAAACGGATGTGTGTGATATTTGACAGTTGTTGAAGGTTTGTGTGTGTGTGTGTGTGTGTGTGTGTGTGTGTGTGTGTTGGGGGAGTGTCACAGCGTTCTTTGTAGTTACATGCATTTTTTTTCTCCCACTGCCAGCTCCCAAATGTGGCTACCTGAAAAGTAACGAACTCATCATTTCACTTATGAATCGCGTTAAACCCGAAGTCCGGGAGTTCAAAGAGAAATGTGCTTTGGTGAGTTGTGAAAGCACCTCATTCCTGTTCTTTCCCTCACTTGCTAAACTAAGGCTGGGCAACACACAAGCTTCCAGGTAGTCTTCGGCTACAACATCCAGCATTCCTTACCATTGGTTCCGTTGGCTGGGGCTGCTGGCAACTGCAGGCCTGCACCCTGTGGAAGGTCACACTTTTCTCGCTCAGGTACTAGACATACCATCTGCGCGGTGGTGTGTCCCGAGCTTCAAAAGGTTCACTTTCGGACGGTGGTCCGCAGACCGCTAGCATCACCGCTGGCTACGTTAACTGAAAAGTGTGGCAGCTTCCTGCAGAAGCGTCTTAGTTCCTTATTCCTTCTTCCCATCAGGTTGCAACCTGGATTCAGCACTTGATTCCCAAAATTGAGGATGGCAATGATTTTGGGGTGGCGATTCAGGTAAGAGAAACTGAGTTTCCCAGAGGATCTACGTATATCTCGCTTGGTCCCAGCAGAGAATGGATCCTTGTTTACCCAATTAATTCATTTATTATTGGTACTTTTTATTTATTTATTTGATTTGTATCCTGCCTATCTGGACTACCAGACCACTCTAGGCGGCTAGAGATGGGCATGAGCTCTCCTCTGCCTCCCCCAGCAGCTGCCCACTCAGGCAGGGAGGCAGGGCAGGAATTCCTGCAGCGCTGCCTTTGAGTGGGCGGCTGCTGGGAGAGGCAGAGGAAGGAAACAAGGACTGGTCAAACACCCAAAGAGGAGGAGAAGAGCAGCCCTAAGAGTTGTTTATGTGAGATGTTTGTTTCAGGATGGCCAGAAAACTGGGGAAGCGGAGGGAGAATGAGCCTTTTTTACGCCTATACACACCCATTTTTATATTTTTCTTTCTTGACAGGAGAAGGTGCTTGAACGAATCACAGCTCTGAAGACCAAAGTAGAGGCCTTTCAGACCACAATTGCCAAGTAAGTGGAAGGTGGAGGTAAAGGGAAAGGGCGTGTGTGTGGCGTCCCTCATTGCCAAGTAAGTGGAAGGTGGAGGGAAAGGGAAAGGGAAAGGGCGTGTGTGTGGCGTCCCTCTTCCAAAGCATTATGGGTAGGGCACATCCATGCCCATTTCCTTAAAACAGACTAAGTGACACACACACACACACCGGATATGCTTTCCTGCCTCGACGTTTCGTTGGATTTCAACATTCAGCATTCCTCACCCTGGGCTGTGCTGATTGAGGCTGATGGAAGCTGTAGCCCAGCAACCTCCGGAGAGGAGGTAAAATTGGTTGAAGGAACCAATCTTTTAGGGGTAAAAGATTGGTTCCTTCAACTGGAGTGATCTCCTTTCAAACGACCCTTCTCGCTGCAGGGGAATCCCTCCAGCCCTATCTTAAAATGTAGAATCTTTCCAGCGGGGGCCACAAGTCCTGCTTGGGCACGGATCGGGGGGGGGAGGTCATGCTGGAGCACATTTTCCTCCCACCGTATGATGGCTGAGAAATGGATCACCTCAGATCCCTCCACCAGTAGTCCAAATCGAGATCTAGTCCCCCCTGTATGACACACCTGATGTTAACCTTGCCCGTTGTGACCATCCAGTGCTCCTCTTCATTCCAGGTATTTTCAAGAACGTGGAGACGCCGTAGCAAAAGCCTCCAAAGAAACCCATGTGGTGAGTCATGGAATGGAAGTGTCAGGATGAAATCCCGTTTTGTCCTCTGACTGGGAATCAGCAGAGGAATTACGAGACCTCAGCCCCTCTCCCTTGGTTTGCTCGAAAAAGCTCAAGAGCATGGAAAAACTACCGTTTTGTACTACATGTCCCAGAATACCTCTTGATTTGTAGTTCTTCATCATCATCCCAACTTTTCCAAGCTCTGGAAAGCCTGTCCTAACAGGGTCTATTTTGAGTTTTTTAAAATGATCTTCCTTTTTCATCTGACGTCCCTGTCATGCCTACAGATGGATTATCGGTGTCTCGTTCATGAGCGTGATGAGGCCATATACCGGGAAATCCAGATCATGATCCTGGACATCCGTGGGTTTTATGTGAGTATGCAGAAGGATTGTGATCGTTCGCTGGCAAAGTGAAAAATAAAACAGGGAAAAGAGAGGATTCAAACCAGGAGAAATCTCATCGAGTTTCCAATTTTCTTACGCACACAGGCTGAGCTGTACCATATCTTGAGTGTAAACCTGGAAAAGCTGACCAACCCTAAGGGGGAAGACAAGCCATCAATGTATTGAGGGACCCCTTTGCTGACGCCTGACAACAACCTTTGCTGTCATTAAAATTGAAGGCTGAAAAGAAAAGCATCAGAAAAACCTGAAAATATATATATTTGTGTGTCTCTGGTTGGCATTGAAAAATAATATAATTGAATGGATTTTACTTTGGTGTCCCTTTTGCTTATGTTGTCATTTTTTCTTAGAAGGGTTTTATGGAAAGGAATACGAACAGCTGGGGGAAAAGATTCCCCCTTTCTTTCTGATTGGAAAGTTCTCACTGCCTACATTTTAAAAATGTCTTTGATGCTGTAACTAATGCGAAGCCTCTACCTGAAAGTTTTTCTCTTTATAATCAGATTAATGTAGCCGGCTCCAAAGCACACACGCTGCTGCACAACTCAAGAGCAGAGCTTGAAAGAATATTTTAATTTTCTTGCCCTGATTTTCTCTTGTCTGTTGGAAGATAACTTGTGATATTTTAAAAGTGGCTTTTTAGTCTAATAATAATAAAAGTGTTTGTATTCTCGAAGGCTTTCATGGCCGAGATCCGATGGTACCGTAGTTGTAGGTTTTTCCGGCTGTTTGGCCTTCCACTGGAGGGTTTTCTTCCTATCGTAATAATTTATAAACTGCAGCCTTCGTCTTTTTCAAAGTCTTAGACTGAGGTCAATGCAAAAATTTCATTCTTTGTATAACGTCTAAAAGAAGATGGATCGTGTTGGCACTTGGCTGAGAATCGGATGAAATTCAACAGGTGCAGCTTCCCCGATCTGGGAAGACTGCACCTGATGGACTTCTTCCTGGAAAGGGCCTAATACAGTACAGGCACTGTCTGGAAGGTGGCAAGCTGTCTTCACCTCTTTGCCCCTGACATAATGATTGTGGAAAAATAATTTTTTCTTGCCTACTTCCTGGTTTGATTCTGATTGATCCTCTCTAGGATTCTTCTCTCTACGATTATATGAGAGGGAAGAGGGAAGAAGGGCTAGAGTGGTAAAGTCTTGGTTTCCGGTAGTCTAGACCGCTGCCTCTATGGTTAAGAGTTCCTGGACTTCGAAACCATCTCAGAGGGCGGGGCCGGCGAAAAGTGAGTTGAGAGCGGAAGTACCTGGTAAGGAAGCTAGGATGTTGTCTCTATGGTAAAAGTAAAGGACGCAAAGTGGGAGGAGTTTTTTGAATAGCGTTATAAAAAAATTCTTGACCAATCGGAGTGTAGCACGGCCGAGCGGCGAGGCCAATGAGCGGAGCAGAAGCGGACCAAAGGCAGGGGCGGCCTGGAATTGGCTTCGCGAAAACCAATCAGGGGACGCGGGAGGCCGAATTGGGGGTTCTGCCGGGGGGATTCTCGAGCAGCGACAAGCTCGGGAGGAATAAATAGGTGGGTGACTTTGCATGCTGGCCCAGGAGTTGGAAAGACCGACAGACGGGAGTGGGTTGGTGGGGATCAGAGTGCTGTTTGTCGTGCGCCCGCTCGCAGTGCTGGGAAAAAAGTTCCTTATTTTGGACTACAACTCCCAGAATCCCTATGCTGGCTGGGTGGGGGATTCTGGGAGTTGTAGTCCAAAATAAGGAATTTTTCCAACCTCTGACCTCCGCCACTGGTAGCAATGCGGGGGGGGGCTGCTTTTTTCCCATGGCAGCAAAAAAAGGAGAGGGAGTCGCCTGGGGCTAGAGGGGAGTGGAGCAGAAAACAAGGGGAGAGGCTGCAGATGCTCAGTAGCCCAGGGAAGGGGACCTTCCTTCCTTCCTTTAAAAATAAATAGCCCTACACAGGCTTTGGGCTTCACCTCCCAGCAGCCACACCTGGCATGGCCAAGGCTAGCAGCCCGTGGAAGCTGCAGACTGGAAGAAAGAGCTCACTGCTTGGTGCCACATTGTGCCCAGAGGGAATTGCATTGCAGGCGGTGCATCACGGCCTCTCCCAATTTGAAGAGACCCTTGTCCAGCAGGCCGAGGCAGAGAGGCCGACCCGAAAGCAGCAAAACCAGGGAGCTGGACAGGGGACAGATTGTATTTGTCTTCCGTGTGGAAGGGACGGTCACTCTGGAATTAGCCTTCTCAGCCACACTAGACGCTGTTCCAAGTCCTCCATACAGAGCACGTGACCCTAGTCTCTCAAGACTGAAGGACGCCTAATGCCCGCTCCAGTTCGATTTTGCACTTCATCAGAATTTCCTGTTCTTTTTAAAAATCCAGATGTGGATAAAGATGCAAAGGGTGTGGATTATTAAGAGAGTAGCAAAGGGTTGGGAGTGGCGGTCTGAGAACCCAAAGGTGGCAATTCAGATGATACCGGGAAGGGACAGCAAAGCGGGTGAGGCAGATGATGGAAGGGAAAGAGGGAGGCTGTGAATGAGAAGGGTGGCAAAGATATAGAATCATAGAGTTGGAAGGGGCTCAGAAGACCATCGAGTCCAACCCCCCTGCTCAAGGCAGGAATCCAAGTCGAAACAGATCCGAGAGAGGGTGGTCCAATTTTCTCTTGAAGGCCTCCAGTGTTGAAGCACCTCCCACCTCCCGAGGTCATGGGTTCCGTTGTTGTACTGCTCTAACAGTTAAAAAAAATTCCTGATATTCAACCGAAATCTGGCTTCCTTTATCTTGAGCCCATTGTTGTGTGTCCTGCACTCTGGGATGATCGGGAACTGATCCTGCCACTCCTCTGTAAGACAGCCTTTCAAATATTTGGAAAGGGGTATCATATCACCCCTCGGTCTTCTTTTCTCAAGGCTAAACATGCCCAATTCTTTTAGCCTTTCCTCATAAGGCTTGGTTTCCAGCCCCCTAATCCTCCTTGTTGCCCTCCTCTGAAGTTGTTCCAGTTGGTCAGCATCCTTCTTGAAGTGAGGTGTCCGAAACTGGACACCGTACTCTAGCTGAGGCCTAACCAGTGCTTAATGTCAAGGAACTAGTACCTCACTTACGTTAATGCATCCTAAAGTAGTATTTGCCTTTTTTTTTGTAGCCCATCACACTGTTAACTTATATTCAGCTTTTGATCTACAGCAATCCCAAGATCCTTCTCGCTCCTAGGTAAGCAGGACAGGTTGGGGGCACCAGATGTGGCCTCCAAACGGCTCCTGGAGGGACAGTCGTTTCAATATGAAGGCATGTTTTGGGGTTGAAAGAGAGCCTCAAACCTTTTTCCTTTGCTTCGCAGGATGGCCGAAGTGGAGATCTCACCCAGGGCTTATGTCAAGATGTGCCTTCACGCTGCTCGCTACCCCCATGCGGCAGTGAACGGGCTGCTGTTGGCTCAGAGGTGCCAAGCAGCCAGCGGGCAACCGGAATGCCTTTGCATCACCGACTGTGTTCCTCTTTTCCACTGTAACCTGTCACTCACTGTCATGCTGGAAGTGGCCCTGAATCAGGTATCCACAGATGGAGGGCATCCTGGATTCTGTAGCGTGGGTTTCCAGAGATGAGACCATGCCAGAGGGGAGACCACTTTCCATATATATGGTTTTTGGATAGGACCTCCCGGCATTCTCTGGGCAGAATTCAAAATGTTGGTTCTAACCTATAAATCCCTAAACGGCTTGAGTCTGTGCAATCTCAAGGATTCTGCCTCCCTTTATGAGCCTCACTGGATATTGAGATCATCAAGAGAGCTCTTTCTCTCGGTCCTGCCACCTGCAACAGATGCGTTTGGTGGGGACACAGGAGAGGGCCTTCTCTGTGGCTGCTCCTTTAGACTCTGGAACTCCCTCCCACTGGAGGCCAGCCTGGCCCCTGTCTTTGCTCTCCTTCCGAAAGGAGGCGAAGATCTTTTTTCTTCAGACAGTCTTAGTGACAGACATGCCCAAGATTGGTTTTAAAATAAGATGGTTGTATTTTCTTGCTTCTAAATATGCTTTAGTAATGCTTTACCTAACCCTCTTAATACAATGTTATTAATTTGCTAATGTTTGAATGATTCAGCATTTAGCTTTAATATCGTGTTTTAATGATGAAAACCACCTTGAGTCCTTTCTTAGGATAAAAGGCCGGGTAAAAATATTCTAAAGAAATAAATGAATGGTCTCTCTCTGCAGGTGGACATTTGGAGTTCAGAGTCAGACTTGCTCCTTGCAGGCTATTACCAGGCCAACTCTGGGATTGACGACAAGAGGTGAATTTGGGGGGTGGCCTTCAGTTAGGGGAACCCTTCCCTCCTTGCATCCTAGGTTGGTCTGTTAATCCTTCTTTCTCTGCTCCCCACAGCCCTTCCCCTCTTGCACAAAAGATCGCTGGGCGCATCGCTGAGCTGTACGACAGTGCCGTCCTCATCATGGTGAGAGTTGGGCAAACGGCCGACGGGATAGGGGTGTGAAGCTCTCTGTATTAGAATTAAGATTTATGTGAAGCAGACGAGTACCTTAAAGGATGAGCTGCATTCTTAAAATCATGAGCACAGAAAGAGGAGTGAGTGACCATTGCAGACGGAATCAAAACAATTTTGGATGGGGCTCTATGCAAAAGGACATTCTGGAGAAAATTGTTTTGTGGGTTTATGCTGGTAGCAGTGTAGGTGTTTTAAATCCTGGCACTGAACGGCGGCTAATTAACCAGTGGCCACTTTCCTTACGAGTTGCACAACTAGCACTTGATTAGGCATACCAGGGGCAACTCATTAATTAGCAACCTTTCATCAATTTATGTTACACCTCATGCTTGATATATCAGACAAAATTCAAAAAAACAAAACAAGGATGAAAGCATGTGGCACCATAAGGACTAATGATTATATTTTAATGTGAGCTTTCACATGCATTAAAATATAATCATTAGTCTTTAAGGTGCCATGTCTTTGTTTTATTTCTTTAATTTGCCTGGTGTGCTTGCACAGACTAACACGGTTACCGCCCACACACACACAAATGCATCAAAGTATTGCGACACCTTCGAGATACATTTATGCCAGTACGAGCTTTCATGCCTTACAGTCCAGTTCTTAAAGGCCGTGTGTCTGAGGAAGTGGGTTGAATTTTCCCATTCACTGGGTTTCGAAGATGCCACGATACTTTGGCATTGGGTATCTGTTATACAACAAAGCTAAAAATCGTACTTCTGAGTACAGGTCATGGAAGACAGGCGAGAGACTACACTACACGTCTTGTGGATAAATCCTCTCCTTGTGAATAAAGTCCCACCTTGGCTAGAAAAGAAAGCAGCAGCTCTTGTCAAAATCACTAGACTGACGCCATAGTGCGAGAGTAGGCAGTTGTGGCCGCCCTGATGTTATTAGATGGCAACAACCTCACGCTTGGCACTATTGGCTGTGTTGGTTTGAGCTGATGAGAGTTAAAAGTCCAACCACATCTGGATGTTTAGACTCGGTCTCCTTCTGACGAGCGGCAAGCTTCCTTGACTTGCGCCATCTGCTGTCTGAGAGCCCACAGGCCCGAGAGTCACATCAGCACCTTGGAGGCACCCATAGCTGTCCGGTTACCTCAACTGGCCAGCTCGGTCTCCTTCTTGCTTCTTGCCACAGAGCGAGAAATTCAAGGCTAGGACAGAGGTGTGTCCGCACCTCCAAAACGGACACATCTAACTGCTTTTCTCCTCCAATGTTTTTCTCAGTTAGATAACTGCAAGTTCACAAGAAATCCCCGGGTCCCCCCAATCGTCGTGTTGGAGCAGAAGGATCGGCAGTGGGTCCCCAAAGACAAAAACCTGTGAGTTTCCCGTCACCTACGGGTTCTGGATTGCTCTCTGCAAACCACATCTCAATTTTAATTGTACTCCACCTCCACAAAACAGACAGAGACAGGGTAGGTTGCCATTTTTCCCTTTTACAGCTTTGGAAGTAGTCCCAGACATGGTGAGAAGGCTGGGATGGCACAAGGAGAACTCTCTAGTTTGCTTTCCCCTTCTTAGTTGCGTTGTTTTTCCAATAGTGTCTGGCGGTGCAGAGGTTAAACTGCACTACTGCAGCGCAAACTCTGCTCACGACCCGGGTTCCATCCCAGGTAGCTGGCTCAAGGTTCGTTCATCCTTCCGAGGTCAGTAAACTGAGTACACAGATCACCAATGGGTAGCCTGCATAATTAAATTGTAAACCACCCAAAGAGTGCTTTAAGCACAATGGGGCGGTATAGAAGCAGCACACTTTGCCTTTGATTTGGTGATTGTACGGGCAGTTATTTCTCTGAATGGACTCTCCTGCTGTTGATCCAGGTGCTGCCCTGTATTGTAGAAGTGATTTTAACTTCTGTGCCACCCCATAGTACTAAAGCACTCTTTGGGCGGTTTGGCTGCATAAGGATGCAAATGAACCTTGGACCCCCACCCCCACCCCACCCCAGCAATCTGGGGGCTCCCTTTGCTAACTTCAGAAGGATGGAAGGCTGAGTGCATTTTGACGTCAGAAAGAGGCTCGAGTGATTTATGAGTTGTTAAAAGGGGAAAGATCTAAGAATGGGCATAGATTGGCATAGGTAGATCCAATGGAATGGGAAAAAAGTAACAAATGAAATCCTAAAATAAAAAAAATACCTCCAAGATGATCCCTGATATAGAGTAAGTCTTTGGTAGAGGTTGGACAGAACGGCAAGCTTCTGGACCATCGAGAGAACCCCCGGCTTCGTTCCCTCTCCCAGCAACTGTCCTTTCCACTTTGAACTCCCTCTATCCACCCTAGAGATCTTAGCGGTGCTTGTCCTTCTGTTTCAGGGTCATGTGGAGCGACTGGGAATCCTCCCGCCACATCTGCAAGTCCCTCCTAGAAACCAAGGCTTATGCCCAGTTGGTGGATTTTGATGCTCACCTGGACGACATCAGAGAAGACTGGACCAACCAGCAACTGAACACGGAAATTGCCCAGTTGGTGTCCATGGCCAACGGCAGCGCCTGAAGGATGAGGAGTGGCCATAAAGAGCGGTCCTCCAGACACTCCAGAGAAGAAAAAGGATAGAGCATCATCGTGGACGGTCTCAAGCAGCTTGCACTTAGCACAGTCTTTACAGTCGCTCAAAGAAAGGCCGGATTTATAGATGGGTGGTGGGTTTTCCTGTTTCGTATCGTACCGTTTGGGTTGGTCCTTTTCTTCTCCCAGGAAAAGACCTGTCCAAAATATTCACGATGCACAAAAATGGAATGGACCCACCAAACCCATTTTATAATGACACAAGCTGGGTTGTGTTTTTTTAAAGTACCTAAGGAGTGCTTCCAGAGACAAGACTGCTAGACTGTTTTGTGATATAAATCTTGCAGTCCCAGATCCGAGTCCAAAGTTTCCGCTGCATTTCTTTAGTCTCTGAATGAATTAAAATGCAAAACTCTCGGCATATGTTAAAATCTCTTTTATTTCAAATAAATTGGGCAGAATGAAGGCGAAGTGAGGGCAGGCAGTTTCAGGTTGTGGGCCAAAAAAAGTGGGCCTCTTTCCTCCCCCTTATTCCCTGACGTGTGGGGCTTAGTAGATCATTCCTTTGTTTTCATCACGGGGCTTCTTAATCTTTTCAAAGTTCTTCAGGAAAATGTCGTAAACTACAGCCTAGAAAGAACGAACCACGTGTGTCTGAGTCAAGCAGGGGGAGACGGAGGTAACAGATCTTTAAAAAATATATATTTTTGGACCGCTCCTCCCAGAATCTCCCAACTAGCCTGGAGCTGAGCCACTAGTTAGCAAACTGCAAGCGTGAAACAAACCAGAAGGCAGGGTGGAGGAGCGAACCAGAACCAAAATAACTATACACAACAGCAAGAGTGTGATGGGTGATCAGGAAGAGATTCCTGCTGAAGCAAGATGCAACAGGAAGTGATGTAAAATGACTTCCTGTCTAGGAAGAGCCACTGACAGCCAGGGTGAGCAAAAGTATTGCAGGCATTTTTCCCAAGAACTGTCACCTGCAGTTCACTGATTCACCACAGGGGGCAGTTTGCACCCAGATCCTGACAATAAAGGAACCAGCCATTTCTTTATCGGCCAGGAGGGGGCGACAAAATGCAGGGAAAATGTGACCTGTGAAAGAGACGGGGGGGGGTACATGGCTGAGTACCCCTTCACCGCAGAAACCTACCGTTTTTCCCGAAAATAAGACCTAACCTGAAAATAAGTCCTAGTGTGATTTTTCAGGATGCTCATAATATAAAGCCCTACCCCCAAAATAAGCCCAGTTAACTGAAAGCCCCCCTCCCCACTGCTCTGCAGCAACCAGAAGATGGCATGACTGTATTTAAATAAATGTAGATGGTCGTACATGAAAAAAATAAAGCATTCCCTGAAAATAAGCCCTAATGTATTTTGGGAGCAAAAATTAATAAAAGACCCTGTCTTGTTTTCGAGGAAACACGGTACTTAATTGGGTTTCTCGCTCAACATCAGCATCAAACAGGAAGCACGACTAGAGCTAAACTCCACCCCAGGAACAAAGCAATACTGGAAACAAACCTTGCTTTCAAGAGGGATAAAAAGTTGCGGGGAGACCCAGAAACCATTGTAATAAGTGAGGCAAGAGGCACGTCATACGGATAGTGGAAACACTATGGATACGATCAGTGCTGAACCAAGTACCCATCCTTTTTCATCTGCCCCGTGGCGCTTCATGTGAAATGAATGGTTTGGCACCCCACCACACACTCCAACCTCCGCGCCCTGCCCAACCTGCCCCCACAACGACTCACGTAAATGTTTCTAATTTCGTTGACCATGAATCGGATTTCAGCATATTCAGCCTCGTCGATCTCATGCACCAGCTGGCGGTAGTCCCCCTACAAGCCACAGAGGGAGAGAAAGGGAAAAGCAAAGGAGATGTAATCGCAGAGTTATTCCCATGGCTGCCACAGGAGCTGAAGGCGTCGGAACTTACCACGTGTGGGCTTTTCGCTGCTTTCGACACTGCGTCGCCTCTTTCAGAATAATACCTGTGGAACACACACAAGAAGGATCGGATTGTTCAATTTCTATTCTATTGATTTACAGTGGTGCCCCGCATAGCGACGATAATCCGTTCCGAAAAAATCGTCGCTGTACGGATTCGTCACTATGCGGAACAAAGAAGCCCATAGGAACGCATCGAAACCCCTTCAATGCGTTCCTACGGGCAAAAAACTCACCGTTCTGCGAAAATCCTCCATGTGGCCGTCATTTTCGCTGCCCAGTAAGCGAGGAAAGGGCGCGAAAACACTGCGGGTGGCGAAGAGATGTAATCACAGAATTATTTCCTTGGCTGCCACAGGAGCGGAAGGCGCCGGAACTTACCACGTGTGGGCTTTTTGCTGCTTTCGACACGGCGTCACCTCTTTCAGAATAATACCTGCGGAACATACAGAAGACGGATTGGCATCGGGAGCGAAACATTTTATTTATTTATTTGTTCAATTTCTACAGAATAGAATAGAAAATTTGTTCAGTTTCTATTCTGTTGATTTATTTGTTCAATTTCCATCCCATCCATCTGGCCCACGGGCCCCTTCTGGACGGTTCACAACATAAAAGGGACACAACACTATATAAAACAACTAAATTATAAAATAAAACAATTTTGAACAATATAGAACACATTCTAAGATGCATTTCAATTTCTACAGAATAGAATAGAAAATTTGTTCAGTTTCTATTCTGTTGATTTATTTGTTCAATTTCCATCCCATCCATCTGGCCCACGGGCCCCTTCTGGACGGTTCACAACATAAAAGGGACACAACACTATATAAAACAACTAAATTATAAAATAAAACAATTTTGAACAATATAGAACACATTCTAAGATGCATAGATAAAAGCACCACCACTGTATTTGTTCAATTTCTATCCCATCCATCTGGCCCACGGGCCCTTTCTGGATGGTTCACAACATAAAAGGGACACAAACAAAACAATATATAACAACTAAATTATAAAACAATTTCAAACAATATAGAACACATTCTAAGATGCATAGATAAAAGCTACCTACTAAAATGCCTAAATAGGGAAATGAGGTTATTCAGAAGGTTGTCCCCTTTTTACCCTTCAGGTCTGCCTTCCTAAAAAGTTTTAGAAGAAGTCGCTGTGTTAGTCTGTGCGAGCGTACCCGGCCAAAAATGAAACAAATATAAAGATGACAAAATTATCGTGGCACCTTAAAGGCTAGCTGCTGTATTTTAATATTAGCTTTTGCCGAGAAATCCTGTCCACGGAGGACGAGACTTTGTCCACAAATGTTCACACTGAAGTGTAGAAGTTAGTATATAAGATGCCACAACAATTTTGTATTATTTCTTATCCATTTGTGTATTTTTTTTCTCCTGGTCTGCTAGCACAGGCTGACACAGCCACCTCTTCTAAAGCTACTATTCATTTAGTTGTTTGTTGCAGGCATAGACCGGGGGGGAGGGGTTGTTCCCTAAGAAAATGCGAAGAAAGCAGAAGCTACTATTAATTTAGTTGTTTGTTGGAGGCATAGACCGTGGAGGTGTTGTTCCCTAAGAAAATGCGAAGAAAGCAGGAAAAGAGGCAGACTGAACATGAGACAGATTGACTCAATAAACCACTGGGTTCAGTTTGCAAAACCTGAGCACGGCGGGCGACGGCAGGCACTTTGGAAGGTCATTCATTCCTAAGATCATCCTGGATTTGTCTGCAAAAGCTCACATTAAAAGATAGCCATTCATCTTTCAAATGCCATAACATTTTGGTCTTTCTTTTTATTTTTTAACTATTCTTTTGATTTTGCCCTGTGATGCTTCCTGAAAGCGAGGCCCTCCAGATGTTTCCGTCTGCATCTTCAGCAAGGAAAGACAAGACGTGAAGGAGTAAGAGACAAGAAGCATGCCTCTAGCAGATAATTTATTTATTTTATTTAAATATTGGATTTTTACCCTGCCCCTCTAGACCATGTCTACTCAAGGCAGCTTACATAGATAAAACAGGACAATATATAAAATATATAAAATTAAAGATAAAGCTTTGGCAAGTCTGAATTCAGGTAACGTGAATGAGCCGAGGAAATTTAGGAAGCACCAGGCAAACTGTACGATACAGACCCTACAAAGAACTGTCAAACATTGGGCAAAAATGGGGGTGGGTGGGATTTCTCCCCCTGGTTTGAGGAGTAAAACTTTCCTCTTTTTTGGGGGGGGAAGTCAGTCCTCATAACAGGGACCTTCGGTGTTGCTTTGCTCAAAATCTGGGGTCTTGGGTCCTCCGACCTCAGTGGTTTCGACCCCTTGGGTCCCCAGATGTGCTTGGATTAAAACTCCCAGAAGCCTTTGCCACTAGCTGGACTGGCCAGGATTTCTGGGAGTTGTAGTTCCTGAACACCTAAGGGGGGGACTCTGTCCTCCTCCAAGCCTCTCTTTCCCAGGGGGGGAGAACTCTGTCCTCCTCCAAGCCTCTCTTTCCCGCTGATCATAATCTGTCCCACCCACACCTATATTATAATAGCATGCCAGCTGAAGGGACGGCGGTCATGGGCTGCATTCCCAAAAGCTTCTTCTGTCAAATCAAAATGTCTTCATTCGTCTCGATAACCAGATAAATAATAACATTTAATTAACTGTTCAATGCTAGGACACGTCGCCAGCGTCTTCTCTGGTCAGATTAAAAATCCCGATTCCTCGGGAAGAATTGGCTGGATCAGGTCTCTGTTTGCAAAGCCAGAAGGCTGGGAGTTCGATTCCCCCCACGGGGCCTTCTGAGAAAAAGAGTCGGCCTCAGGGGGGGGGGTCCCAGGGCGCCCCCCCTCCAGAAGAAGGGAAGGGGAAACTGACCCTGAGTCTTCTCTACCTGTAAAACCCTGGAAAAAAAGGGGTTGCTGTAACTCAAAACTGAATTGACGGCACAGGATTCTGATGAGTAATATGAATAATCTTCAGGAACATCACTGGTGTCTTCTTTGGGAGAACTTGTACGTCTAGTGCCACAGTCGGAGCGTGTTACTGGACTACAACTCCCATCAGTCCTCGCCAGCAAAGCCAAAAAGGGTTGCTGTAACTCAAAACTGAATTGACAGCACAGGATTCTGATGAGTAATAATATGAATAATCTTCAGGAACGTCACTGGTGTTTTCTTTGGGAGAACTCGTACGTCTAGTGCCACAGTCGGAGCGTGTTACTGGACTACAACTCCCATCAGCCCCCACCAGCAAAGCCAACAGTGAGGCCAGGAACCTCTGGAAGAGCTACGCCCACTTCTCAGCCCATGGTGTGTTTTCCATCTTGTGTTCACAGCGCACCGCTTCCTCCCGGGCTGTTCCCACTTTTACAACTCTGCCTAGTTTAACCTTTGGGCCTCCTCTTCTTTAAACCATCCGGCATGTTTGCTGGAAAGTTTTTTTCTCACCTCTCTGGAAGAGAACTGGGAGGCCAAAATATATATATACAGTATTTTTTGGAACAGAACTCTCCAAAACTCCTAACCCCCGCCCCTCCCCAGCCAGGTCAGCTCCTGGCTACGGCAGGTTGTCGGTTTCCGGAACAGAAACCTGAGCTGTCTTTTGGAGGCCAAAATGATGAAAACAAAACTGTCCTAGGCATCATGAGAGGATAGGATTCTCTGGAAAAGACCCTCATGCTGGGAAATGGTGGAAGGCAGCAGGAAAAGAGGATGACCCAATATGAGACTCCCTCAAGGAAGCCACAGGAATCCAGTCCCTGTCATCTCCAGTTAAAGAGAGATGGAGGGACTCAATAAAGGAAGCCCCAGGCTGGACTTTGCAAGAGCGGCTCAAGGCCTTTGAGGACAGGACGTTGTGTAGATCCCTCATGAGGGTCACCCTAAGTTGGAGGCGACTTGACAACATGGAACAACAGGTTTCTGGGAATTGTAGGCCACAAAAGGTGCTTGCTTCCATGGATTCTGAAGCAGAGTGACATGCAGACAATCCAAAGTCCAGTCCCTGTCATCTCCAGTTAAAGAGATTTCGTGTAGCAGAGGCGAGCAGAAAGGTCTTTGTGGGTCTACGACCCTGGGCAGCCTCGGCTACTCAGGAGGAGATGACACTGGCTGAGGTAGGACAGGAGCTTTCCTTGGGCATTTTCAGACAAAGCTGAGCATCTTGGAAAGCCGCCTCCCGGGCGCCCCAGCGATCACAGCTAGGCTCCTTTGCCCTCTGACCTCACACCTCACAAAACAAGCCAGTGCTTTATGGACAGCTGCCGAAATGCCACTGGGCTTCCAAGCCAGGTCCTATTTTGTTCCCGACATGCAGGTAGACATGCAATATAGGGAGAGTCCTCCTATCGCTCCACGTTTCTGCCATGGGTTGAGAAACTCAAAGTCGCATTTCTATCAAGTGGTGGTAGGAAGGAAGGGAAGGCCGAGCCAAGCTTGCAAATCTTACTTTTCTCCACGCCCAACCCCCAGGAGCCATGCTGGCCCCAAAGGATTCTGGGAGTTGTAGTCCAGAAGGACCCAGGCTTTACCAGGATCCACAAGGCGGCTGCAGTGAGAGTTTGGTGTGTCACGCGGATGCAATGGGAGGCACAATCCTTGTGATGCAAGTCACGCCCACGTTGCTCAGGGATCTAATTCACTTGAGAGTCAGCCCTGGAATCTTGTCCCGGATCTCAGGGCTTGGCTCTGGGAGGGGCGGAGGGGGGGGAAGTCTTTCCCTTTGGAGTGTCTTTCTGGGTTGCTCCGGTTGGACAGGAGAAGAGAGCTGACACAGCTCTAAATGCCCTCCAGTGAGATCATCCAGGCAAACAATGGGGCAGAGTTGAAACACACACACCCCCAGCGCCGTCCTTAATCAAATCAGGCAATCACATAAAGGCTTCAAAGTCCTCCACCTTCTTCTCTACCCCACCCACCGCTACCTGTTGTAATCCACCTGGATGCCAGGTATGCCAAAGAGCAGTGCCTTTATCTCCTGCCTCAACCAGGAGACAAAAGCTCTCCCCGCTAATAAGGGCCTGGGAAATATTCAGAGAAATAACAATGACAGAAATAACAAACGTACACTCTGTGGGGCTTCTGGGAGGAACAAGATGGGGTGTTCGGCGTGAGTATTTGTGGATTGCAATCTGTCCGTAGAAGCGGACTAACCTCACGCTGAAATCAAGGTGTTATTCTTAAAAGTGCTATGGGACGTCTTCCACCGCCTTTACAAGGCGGCGGAAGGCAGCAGGAGAAGAGGAGGGCCAAAGAGAAGATGGACAGACTCCCTAAACGAAACCACAAGCTTGAGTTTGCAAGAGCTGAGCCGGGCTGCGGAGGATGGGACTTTTTGGAGAGCGTTCATTCACCGGGTCGCCCGACGTCGGAGATGACTTGACAACACACAACATCAACAACATCTCTAGCTTTGGTTTTGCTGTTACGGCTGGAGGTGCCACAAAAGGCGCCAGAGCCTTCTCTACCCCTTCCTGGCGATCCCCGGGAATCTTCTGTCCGATGCGGCTGTACCCGCCCTTCCTTTATTGTACCTCCCGGTTTGGCCATAAGCGCCCACAATGCCCTCCCGTAAATTTACAGCAAGTCACCGTTGCCACATCTTTCTTGCCTGTCCTTGGCCACTTCTCTTCTCTCGAAGGGGCAAACACAATCATACGCAAACCCACCCACCCCGGAGCTCAGAAACATAAAAACTCCTCCTTGACTACAATGCCCAGAATCCCCGGCCAGTGCGAAACATGGACCCACGAAGGCCGCTTCCCCAGATTTTGGACTCACTTGGCGATGTGCGTCTGAAAGCCTTCCAGCTTTGTTCGAGCTGAAGTCAACAGTTCATACACTTTTTCCTAAGAGGCAGGGGGGAAAAATAGAGGCCGATGAAGTGGGGAGAAGCAGAAATGGGGGATGGTGCCAGGAGCCTTGGTGGAGTCCCAAAACAGAGAGGCGCTGGGGCAGAATACCTCTTTTTCCAATAAGTAAGGCCGTGCACTCTGTATATGCTCAGTGGAAACTCCATCAGGAGTGCGGGGGAACCCAAACCCTGCTGGAATGACTTATTCCATGACAATCTGTTTAGGAGGGGTAGTAAATGTCTGCTACGCCCTTCTTAAGCTTCTGCGTCTCCTTTAAGCTCAGCTGTAGTCCTCACACCCACCCAGCGCCGCACGGATCTGACCAGTATTAACGTATCATTGTGAACTATTCTGGTTGTCATAAAAAGTATTTTAGCGTGTTATGGTCTTGAAAGAGGTAATTAAGACCCATTTGCTTTGCAAAAGACCCCCCCCCTTGGTGGAGATAAAAACTGCTGGGAAGGGTTTGTTGTTATGGGTCAAAACAATTGCTTGCATTTTAAAATTCTCTTTGGGGGTTCAGCAACCATGGAAAGAGGGTCCGTTTCAAAAATTTAATTCTATAGCACTGTATTTCACAATTTTTTGCTTTCCTCCCTTATCCTCGTCAGCTGGCAGAGCTGTAAAGAAGGCAGGGCAACTGGGACGCAACAATTTAGGAAATAACTCTACTGGTTAACATTAGGTGTTATTCACTTTCCTTTTTATTTCTCTGCCCCTTTTTCTCTTGATGGGGGGGGGGCCACGGACCATTATCTTGGGTCCAAATGCATGGGAGATGCAGCTCTTTGCCCCCCCCGGGGGGGGGGAGTGGGGGGGCCACGGACCAATATCTCGGGGTCCAAATGCACGGGAGATGCAGCTCTTTGCCCCCTCGGGGGGGGAGCAGCTTTTCGATCTATTTTATTTCACATTATTTACAGGCCATCTTTTGATTAGACTTTCAGGAATACTAGATTTTATCCATTTTGATCATTTGGCTACCTCGGGTAACGAAAGCTAACCCATGGAGGCCAAAGGGCTTTTATTTAAAATTAAGATCTGGTCCCACACATTGGGGGTGAGTAGGGTGATTTCGCAAGGATCGAGACACACAGATGCGCCAGCACGTACACTCACCTGGACTGCTACTCCAAAATTATTGCCGTCCTCGATCCGTGGGACTAAGAGTTGTAGCCACAGAGAGATCTAGGGAAAGAAATAAGCAAAAGAATCAGCATGTGTGAATGCAGAGGCTGGAGGAACTATCTTTAGGGTCTACCGCTCCCCGAATCATTCCAGGAGTTTTCGTCCAAATGCTTCCAGTCTCCGCCTGAGCACGCTTTGTTTGCACCCACTTTTTTTGCACGCAGGCAAACGCAGTCTGCGCCGTTGCTTCGTCCTAACCCCTCACCATGTTGAGTTTCTCCTTGGCGCCCTGGATCTCGGGTTTCACGCGGTCCAGGAGGGCCGTAATCTTCTCGTTGTGGCAGACGGGACCACACGGAGGGGCTGGCGAGAGAGGGAGAGTATTTTAAGGGACCAAAATTTGCAGCCGGTGCAAAAAAAATAAATAAATCATCCATTCAGAGATGCCTGGAATAAAAACGCGATCTGAAAAATCTGTGAAGTCTTTGCACTGCGTTTATTTTTTAAAATCTGCCAGATTCCTCCGTTTGTTTTCTCTCGCCCGTTGGGTTTCTCGGATGGTGTACGAGAGTATCTAGACTTTCTGAAGACCATCTCCGAAAGGAAATGCAACCGCTGTCAGGACCTGGGGAAAAGCCCTCATTTTTTCTTTCTTTCTGCCGTTCAAAGACTGGGCGCCGTTCAAAGCGGCAAAACAGGCAGGAACACAAAGCTTTTCTGAGACAGGGAGAGAAAAGTGGACTCGCTCAATTTCTGCAGGGTGCCCGGTGAAAACACCAGAGAGCGCCTTTGCTGAACTACAGCTCCCCCGGATCCTTCACCACCGGCTACGTTGTCTAGAGCTGTTGGGAGTTGTAGTTCTTCAAGCACTTTCGGGAGGGTCCACAGTTTAATTATGCAGGCTACACTCTTCTCCAGCAAGCCGAGTACTCAACTTACCAACCTCAGAAGGATGGAAGATTGAGTGAACCTCGATATCTGGAACTGAATCCGGGTCGTGAGCTGAGTTTTGGCTGCAGTTTAACCTCTGTGCCATGAGGCTCATGACCTCATTTATCGGCATTTGGGTCTAAATTTCCCTCTAACAAGCTGTTTTTGTGAAAATCATTTCTCTGTAGGAAATAGAAATCTCTTCACCTCCCTATGAAATATTTTTCACAGAAATCCTTCCAAAAAAAGCTTTACAAATCCATTCCCCGTCTTCTCCTTCTAAACGTATTTTGTCTGTTCGCTCATTTTGTCTGCTAATCCTAGTTAAAAATCTTCCGGCACCACAACGCTAAACTCCAGTCTCTGGAACAAAGGGGGACGAAAAATAAACCACGCTGGAAGCAGGGATGAAAAGGCATAGAGAGCCATAGAGGAGGAAAATGTCCTTTACTAATCAAGGCCACCTCACACTGGCGCAGAAAATACCAATAAAATCAGGGCAAAACTTTTTTGAGGTACGCTTCTTATGAATAAACACAAAGAGTTACACAAACAAAGGAAGGTGTGGGATTGTTGGTTGCCAGCCAAGAATCCAGGACCAGGCATGAGCTGCTTTGGCAGCCGGGGCACCTTCGAAACTGAGAAAAGTTAATTTTTCTGGAACTAAAACCTTGAGCATCTCTTAAGCTGGCATGGCTACCAACTTAAGGAGGTAAGAGGGATGGCTTGTAGACAAAGGGCCTTTTCAGCAGCTGCCCCCAGACTATGGAACGCCCTCCCGACTGAGATTCGTCTGGCGCCGACGCTGATGACAATTTTTATAAACATATTGTAATTGTATTTTAATTGTTCTAAATTTTATTGTATTTTAAATGTTGTAAGCCGCCCAGAGACCTCTGGGTAGTGTGGGCGGCATATAAATTAAATAAATAAAAACTGCTCAAAGTTCAGCTGCTCTACCTGGGACGGTAGAGCCTCTGTTATGAGGAAACTGTCCGAGGTTTCAACGATGGGACATAAACATCAACTCCTTCTGTGCTCTTGCTGCTCTTAAGAAGGGTGGGGATAAATATCACTTTTAAAAGGACTTATGAAAGCGTTTACATTCTCGTGATGATTTTAAGTACCTGTTTGTAAACCTAACCTGAAGCCCATGGTTCTTAAGCCTGGAACCTATCTTTAACCTAGTTTTTCCCATTTGTTTGTTCTGACTGAAACTGTTTTGATTTGCTATTTTTATTCTGTTTTATGATCGCTGTAAGCCACTCTGAGCACCTCTCTAAGGTAGAAAGGAGGGGTAGATCTGAAAGAAATGACCGTTGTCATCCTCACCAGCATCAAGTCCAGCGGTCAGAGTGACCAGTGTTTGTGTCCAAAAAAGTAACTTTTCTTAGCTCTGCCTGTATAAAGAGATGGCCCCATAACCTGGTGGTTCAATTCCACGGATGGCTTTTCTGCTGGAATTATGAGTTAAACATCATAACTCAAGCTTCTAATGCGATGATTTTAAAAAAGGGACCACCGTCAAATTCCTCTGAATCCCCTCTCTGCACCTTTACCTTTATCGTCATCATCTGCTTTCTTTTTCTTATCCTTCTCTTCTTTTCCAGAATCCTTATCTTCTTTCTACAGCAGGAGAGAATAAAGGCACACTATGAAGAAAAGCCACAGGGTAAGACAGAAAAACTAAAGACACAAAAATTAATTGCACAAAGAAAGCAGCCAAACCAAATTTTTATCAGATCTAAAAAAATCAGAACAGTTTTCTTTTCTTTTGTCTAATATTTATTACGAAACATTTGGTTGCTCTCCTTGGTGGACAAACAAAGGGTGAACTTCTCCCGGGGGGAAATATGCTTCCCCTCCCTAGAAGTAAAGATGATGAAACTGAGGCTGTCCTATTTTGAACACACCATGAAAAGAAGACTCAGTGGGAAAGACAATCATGCTTGGAAAAGATGAAGGCGGTAGGAAAAGAGGAACACCAATGTGCTGAGATGGATTGAATCCCCACAAGAAGTCACAACCTTGACTCTGTAAGAGATGAGCAGAGTGATTAGCTGATAAGGACGTTTTGGAGGGAACTCGTTCATAGGGTCGCCATGGGTCAGATGTGACTTGACAGTAGAGAATGACAACAGGAAATATACCCATACCCTGCAAAAATAGGTCTTTGCATCCTATCCCTTCAGAATCCCTGGAAGGACAAAAGCTATTGCAGTCAAAGGAAGGATAAACTCCATTTACGTACTTGTAAAAACAGAGAGAAACTTTTCCCACACCAGTCCCAAGGATGGGGAGGAAAAACTTGATGGGAACTAATTATAGGGAGAAGCGGTTGGTGGAGTTTGAGCAACCTCTGTCACAATCTGAATGGGGAAAAAGTAGGGTGTGGGAGTGTGCAACACCCGATACCCCCTGGCACTTCCTAGTGTTTACTGGGACAGAAAAGCTTGAATACTTAACAACACGGTGGGTAATATGGATAAAGAATCTCTACTGCCTTTCTCCCTCAAATCAGAGAAGCTGCAGCATCCATAATTTAAGATATGCAGGTGACACCATGTTAATGGCAGAGAGCTTCTGTCCCCCTGAGTAGACGGCAGGTGAAAGGAGAAACGGCAAAAGCCAGATTACAGTTGAACCCTAAGAAGCAGCAACCATAATTTAAGATATGCAGGTAACACCATGTTACTGGCAGAGAGCTTCCGTCCCCCTGAGTAGACAGGAGAAAGGAGAAACGACAAAAGCCAGATTACAGTTGAACCCTAAGAAGACAAAAATCATGAATACAGAAGAATGAGATAATTTTATTGCTGAAGATGAGAAAAACAATCAAATGGCTAAAAAATATTCCATTGAACTGCAGCCAGGAAATCAGATGGCAATTGAGACTCAGAATGAAGGAATTTGAAAAGGCATTTAAGAGTAAGCCTCTCTCACTGAAGACCAAACTCACCCCTATTAACACCATTTCCAGTTTCAAGGGACAGATGTGAAAACTGGATAGTGAAGGAAGCCGACGGGAAAATTTTTTGATTGGTTTATAGATGGTGTTTTGGGAGAGAGCTTGACATGTATCCGAGAGAGACTAATATGTAAGTTTAAGAGCAAAGCGAACCTGAATCCGTGCTAGAAGCTAAAATGACTAAACGGAGGTGATCGTATTTTGGGCGCATCATGAGAAGACTTGACTCGATAGAAAAGACATTAATGGTAGGCAAAACAGACAGCAGCAAGAAAAGAGGAAGACTTAAAGAGATGAGATGGAGTGGCTCAGTAAAAGAAGCCACAGCCTCTAATTTGCAAGAACTGAGCAGGACTCTTAATTACAGGACGTTTGGAGGTTATTATTTCATGGCTGTTGTTATGATAGACTGTCAGGTGCAAAATGACTTGTAACAACCCTAATAAGGCTTTCAAGGCAAGTGAGATATTTAAGGAGTGGTTTTACCGGTTCCGCTCCCCCAGGGAGCTTCCATGGCCGAGAGGGGATTCGAACCGTGGTCTCCAGAGTTCTAGTCTGCCCTTTTACCTACTACACCACGTGGGGAACCATTATTTCATCAGGGTGTCGTAAATCAGAAGCGATGTAATGGCACGTAACAATAAAGAATGAATCATAAGGGTTATGTATGACATTGAGATCACGGCGCTCTGTTTTCACAGTAATGAAGTGTTCCAGTTGTGCAAAACATCTGGATCGGAGAAGCCAGGATGAAAAACAAGGGCATTGCTACAAGCTTGCTACATAGCTTTCGCATGATAAGGGAACCTCGTTGCTCTGGCCTGCAGAGTTAGCAGGTCAGACTTAACGCTAGCTGTGATAGCACATGTGTATTCCCTCCATGCGTCCATGCGCCAGGACCCGGGGTTTCACTGGAACTGCTCAGTCATGTTGCTCTGGAGCACCTAGTGTCACCCCATGACAATACACAGGTGGCACTTTCCATGCAGGATGTAGAACGTGGAGAGCTTCTTCTTTTGAGCTACAGCTCCCATTGCTGGAAAGAGGATTCTGGCTGGTGTCATCCTAAAAAAAGAGGACATCTGCAGACCGCACACACCCAACACCCCATGGACCTGCAGATGAGCAAAGAGGGGGCACAAACTGTGAAGGGCTGAGTGCTGGCCTAGCGGTGGGAGACCCTTATGAATTAAGTCGCTTGACCTCCAGCCGTAAGGAACAGCAGGAGTCCCAAGAAGGGACTTGGGGTCAAAACCTGCCCTCTTTCGGCTTAATCCTGGGGGGGCAGGCACCGCACCCCCTGCCCCGCTCACTCACTTCTCGCTGCTTGCGGCGCTCCTCATCTTTCTTCGGATCAGGCACGGGAATGTCTAGCTCGGCACGGAGCGAAATCAGGTCCGAAACGTTCAGCTCGGGGTCCTAGGAAAGGGTCAAGAACAGACGTTGGTTAAAACACTGGTCTTGCTATAAGCACCGTTCCAATTGGAATCGATTGAGCAATCACGGGGCAATCACATCGTATCTGGGTCGGTGTGTGAGTGTCCCCTTGGGAAAACTTTTAATATGTTTTCAAGTTGTGTCGTATCTCGGTTGAGGGAGGCTACACCGACTTTAAAAATCACGACCTTTGAGGCTCGGCCGCCCTGCCCTCACGCTGGCAACTCAGCCCTACTGCTGTGGAGAAGGGTGAGGGTGCGGGAGAGACAGGGTCTGCTGGCAAAGCAGCTCATCCCTTTAGAAAGCTGGGCTCCTTCTGTCCTTTTAAGAATGACCCACAACTTTTCCCATTGGTACCCACAAAACACACCACAGAAATGAAAGGTGCCTAGCTTTGCCGTGGTGCTAAAACATGATCCAAGCACGGATCCTCCTGAATCCACAAGATGGGATCTTCCCCCAAACACTGTCAAATCGTAAGTCTCATCCCCTTAACGACCGCTCTATACTACTCTTCACGCTTGTAGGCCGGTGGCTTTCTTCTGCTGATGGCCAAGTTTCCATGGAACTAGAGGCAAAAGGGAACACAACCATCATCTCCTTTTCTCTCTCTCTCTCCCGCCCCCCGCTACCTTTTTCTCTCCCTCCCCACTTTGAACCCCACTCGTTATGTCTTTCCTATTAGGAAAGCTATCAAAGGAACAGGTTGTTGCTTTGTAAGGTGAATTGCACAGGTAAGCTGCAGAGGTCTTCTGAAAAAAAAAGTTATGAGTCACTGAACAAGTAACACTTAAGCTCAATTCTTTTTGTTGTTGATGATACTGTAAATAAATCATTCTCCAAGAGTTTCACCATAATCACAAACTGCTGACGGGTCCCAGCCCTCTTGCAAAAGCGCGCACACACACACACACGTAAATGTAGACCAAAACAATAAGTCTGTCCAATCCCAGCCTCTTGCAAAAGCACACACACACACACACACACACAAATGTAGACCAAAACAATAAGTCTGTCCAATTTATTTGCTTCCCATCCCCCAGTTTCTGCCTTAATTGTCGTTTGTTTTGAACCTCGAACAGCACTTGACGGTGGACAAAGCAGCAGGATAAGAAGAATAAATCTAATTCCCCAATTGTCACCCATCCCTCTAGGTCAGAAGCTAAACGCCTTCATTTTTTTTTTTGAGGGGGAGGACAAGGAGCGGGTGCGAATGACGCAGAACGAAAATACAGTCCTGAAGCGGGATGGAGGGGTTCTCCCACAAGTTTGTTCCAAAGTGCCCTGTCTCATGCGCTAAAAATAATGAGAATGACAGGTCTTGAAATTGTGTCTGGTCGAGGTAGCATTTTCCAAAGCTGCTATATATTAAAAGGGTCGCTGTTGGCTAGTGCGTGTTTCAGCCATCATCATCTTTCTCCTGATCTACTTTTTTCTTTTCTTTTCATAAATCTCAGGCTACAGGGAAACCTCTGTTTCAATTCTTGTTTTTTTTTTAACCTGTCATTCTGTAGCTCAAACCTATGCATGTTTACTCCAAAGTCACATTTACTCAATGGAGAAATACAGGTAAGTATACAATTGCAAGCCTGGAACAGATTTACACACTGGTCTCTAAAGATACTCAAAAAATATTGTCTTTTAATGATATAAGCCACCTTGGGTCGTTTTAGAAGAGGAAGGTGGGATAAAAATATTTTAAAGAATGTGGGACACAAATATTTTAAATAAATAAATGAATCAATCTCCAAACCCTATTTTCACTCCCTTACCCAAATCCCATTTTTTAAATCAGCTTGTATATTTACTCCAATCCTTCACTTTTTGGAAGTTGAACAGTTTAATCCCAAAGGATGGCCACAATTTAAATCCATTTATTCTGCTTTGTGTTCATGGGACGGATAGTAATAATGCTATTTCTTGCTAGCATATTTAGGAATTCTTCACTACCAACGCAGCTTACTTTATTTTACATAGATCCTTGGACTTTTTCCCTGCCATCAATTCATGTTTTCTGTTTTTGCCTTAAAACATTTCATTGCCTGGTATTGCAAAACCACCCTTCCTGCCACACGCCCAACCATCATATTACCTTCAGAAAATTACTCAGCTCCACGATTTTCTCCGGGAAACGCTTGGCGACAAGATCTTCCGCCTGGCGAACGAGGGAAAAAGTCCCAGGAGACGAGAGAGAAACATTAGAAACGCAAGTGGAATTAAAATCTCTGTCAATTCAAAACCCAGGGACTGAAACAGATACATACAAATAAAATATAGCTGAAATGAAAATTTATCTTTTTTTTGGTGGGAGCCTGAGATCTTGAATTGGTAGAGCTTATATTTAAATAAGAAACGGAAACGGGACTTATTCCAAAGGGATTTTGAGTTTTCCACAGTTCTTTGTCAACTAGTGATACATAAATAACAACCCAAGGCAAAAGTCTGCCCTCCCCACCAAAAATCCGGCAAAAGGGAGTTTGCACTTATCTAGAACTTGGTTCTTTAGAATCAGAAATTAGTCACTCCAACGTGTCAATAAGTGAGTTTTGCACTCTGCCTATGATCAGAAGCTACAATGACCGTTCCGTTGCTCCAGGGAAAGTTTTAAAACTATGACAGAACAGCCAGGAACCAAGTCTTTCTCTCCACACACACACACACCCGCTTTTTATTAATTAATTAATCATATTTTTATCCTGCCTTTCTCCTTGAAAACACCACCCCGCTTTTTATTAATTAATTAAACATATTTTTATCCCATCTTTCTCCTTAAAAAGAACCCAAAGCCGCTTACATCTCTTTTAAAAAGACAGTGTTTAAAAGCCCCCTCCCCGTCACAAATTCACGGTTGTGAGTGGGGGAGTCCGACAGCAGGGAAGAATTCCATTTTTAAATAATAAAAAAATCAGTTTTATTGCAAATTCGTGTCTCTCTCTGTCTGTCTGTCCCCCAGCTGCCTAGTTATTATTATTATTATTATTTGCAATTTTATGCTGTTGAACTTTTAGGGACCACATTTTCCACCGTCCCTTTTCTGATTTTTTTCTCCCCTTTTCTCTGTGGCTTTTTCTGGCTCTTAATTGGGTTCCTTTTGAGGTTGCTCTGGTCTCCGAGTCGGGTGGGATTAAAAAAAAAAACAGGAAAAAGGAGTAAATAAAAATGGGTGATTTCTCTCACTCACCTGGGTGCAGAGTTTGGCTTTGAAGGCATTCACCTGGAGACGGCAGGGAGAAGCAAAAGAGAAAAATGAAAGTACTATACCCAGTGTGTGTGAAAGATGACGCCCGGGCACCTCGCCAAGGCTCTTGGGGGCCCTGTCACCCGAGCCCTCGATGCACCTGTTGGACTTACCGCCTGGCTTGCCATCTGACAGGACGGAACAGAGGGTGACAGGTCTCTGGATGGGCCCTCCATCACACACACACACAATACACACACACATACATGCTTCCATCTCCTCCACCTCTTGCAACACCCACCCCCCACCCCAGGATTTTGTGTGTGAGAAAGAAACACCATCTTTCCAAAGTGGGGGTTCCTCTTGGATGGTCCCCCCCCCAAATTTCTCCTGGGATTCTTCCCTCTCTGGCTGCCCCATCTCCTTTGACAACAGCCCCCTTCCTCCTTTCCCATCTTTGCCCTTCAGCCTGCAGAAATCCAACCGGTGAAGCAATCCGCCCGACCCCCAACAATGGAAAGCCAAGCCCCCAACCAGGTGAATTTCGGCCTGGCCCTGGAGCGCAGACACCCTCTCAACAGTCTTCCTTTTTCCTCCCTCTCTTAGGCAGGCCGATGTCCCACAGGATGAGCCTTTCCCCCCTACAGAAAGCACTTTAGGGACTCAGAGAAACCCTCGCCTCGCTTCCTTCCCCCCCTTCCCTTCCCCTCCAAACCGGATTGTACCTGCGCTTCGCACTCCGGAGTCACTTCCAAAGTGGCCATGCTTGCTTCAACTGCTGCTGCTGCTGCTTCTGCACCGCCCGGCCACCGAACCTGGAAGGCTGGGGGATCTCGACAACCCCCCCACCCTCAAAAGCGAGACGCGAGTCGGGAAGCGTCGTGGGGAAGCGGGCGAAAGGAGCGAGTCACGCATGAAAAGCGAAAACGAAAGGAGAGGCGGAAGAGGAGGGCGCAGGCAGCAAAATCCGAATTAAGCCGGACTCCGGGACTTCCCACTGCACGGGGGGGGGGGAGGAGGAGGAGGCGGGGCCCTCCCTCGGGCGCCCCAGGCAGCCATTCAACCAGTGCAGAGCACCCCGTCCCTCAGCGAAGCGCTGCAGGGGCGGGGAAGCATTGCCGGTTGAACTGCCTGCCTGCCCTGCCAGGAGGAGCCAAACCAGTGCAAAAGCGTGGGGCGAGGAGCCTGCCTGAGGATGATGTGTTCCCTGTCTGCGTGCTTGGCTCTCCTCCGCCTTCTTCACCACCACCACCCCTGCGAGGTAGGCCAGCCGGAGAGGGTTCGCTGTGCTTGATGACCCAAGGCCGGGATTCGAACTCGGGTCCGCCTCCTTGGGAGGACCGACATCCCCAAACCGCTGCGCCTGGATCGCAAAGAGAGTTTCCCCTTTGTCTCCCAGATCATTGCAAAATCTTTCAGAGGAATGCAAGATCTGGCCAGGCTGTTATAAACCTTTCAGAATTGGAACGAAGATGCACGTGTTGAAAGAGACTGAAGGAGAAAGGTATTATTTCAGACTTTTAACACAATTTGGTTTTATGCTGCCTTTCCTCCAAGGGGCTTAAGTTGGGATGGGGGGGGACAAGCCACCCTCTTGGTCCTCCCCATCATCTTCTCCACAAGGCTGTTCCTTAAATGATGCAAAGAGCATCAGCTTCCGGATCACACAGAGCTCTGGCACAAGGGGAAAAAAACAACACAACCTTGACTGGTAGATGCCAGAGGTTGCAGGGCGGGAAAGCATCATGAAAGCAAAGAGCATTAAAAGGCCTAATATTGTGAATATCGTTGGGCTTTCTAAAAGGGAGAAGAAACCACCCAGGAAAAGGAACCAGAAATGGCAACTTTTTGCCTCAGGGACTCGGCGGCCATGTTTGGGCACAGACCGAGAGGAAATGCAGGCTTTATTTCTAATAAAGAATACAAATTCAGAGCCGATAAGAAGCACGCGTGAGCCACGGACAGGAAGCAAAATTTTCGTTGCGTCAAGTGTTCTCGTGATCTTGAGGCAACCTCGCAAGTCGACTTGTTCCACAGGATCATTCTGCGCCGTCCTGTCCCGGGAAACATACACACCTCTTTGCCAGGCGTAAAAGGCAGGCGAAGATGAAGGTTCCTAAAAGTGGGGCTTGGTCTGCAAACCGTGTCAAGCACAGCCTAGATGAGGGAGGGAGGGAAGCAGAAGACGGCAAGAGAGGAATTGCACTGTTTTATTTGGTATATTCTTGACGGGCTACACAAAGTTGGCCGTCGGTCCTCCGCATCGAAGGGGTGAAAAAGTTTTTTTAACATGCTCAGAAGCACTCCGTCACTCATCACAGCAACGCTGTCCAAACAGAAGCAATGGGGAATAAGGACCAGGAGCTTTGGGGAGGTACAGTGGGCCCTCGACTTACGAACCTAATCCGTTCTGGAAGGACGTTCGTACCTCGGAAAGTTCGTAAGTCGAAGTACCATTTCCCATTGAAATGCATGGGAACGGAATTAATCTGTATCTTAGGACCGAAATATGAACAAGGAAGTATATTCCTGGAGACAGAGCACAAACTTCTAGCAGAGAAATATTGTTTTTCCCCTGCTGATTTTTAGCACTTTAAAAACAAAATCCTACCTTACTTAAAATATACAGTAATACCATTTCAGGTATTTTTTTTTTAAATCCTAGAGACCTCTAGTGTGTGTGTGTGGGGGGGACCTTTTTGGATACAACTTACCCTGTTGCCCCAAAAATAAAACCTAACCTGAAAATAAGCCCTAGTAGGATTTTTCAGGATGCTGGTCATATAAGCCCTACCCCAAAAATAAGTCCCAGTTGAGTGAAACCCCGCCCTCCACCCTTGTGCAGCAACCAGAAGATGATGACAAGACTGTATTTGAATAAATGTAGATGGTTGTACATGGAAAAAATAAAACATCCCCTGAAAATAAGCCCTCCGGCGCTTTTTGGAGCAAACATTAATATAATACCCTGTCTTATTTTCAGGGAAACACAGTAGGCTACTGGTTTAACGGGTAGGGAATGTCTGGCTCTCTCGCTGTTGGACTACAGTTCCCATCCTCCTTCACTCTGAGCGAGACTAAGAGATACTGCAGTTCAACACCAGGAAGGCCAGATGTCCCCCTCCCGCCAAACCTGATCTACTGCTCGGCTTTTTCAGGGCAGGATTCGGCCCGGATGTCTTGTCCTCCACCCAAGAAACCGCACGGCCATGCGGTGCGGCGACGGAGCAGCCGACAGGGGCGCCCTGGTTTATTTTCCTTCAGCGAGGTGTTGCGGGAGACCCTTTTCCGGGTCTCGGGGGCGGCCGGCATCGGGGTCTCTGGAGTGGGGTTCAGTTCCGCTTCTTGGCCTCTCCTGGGGCCCCTTTGGCAAAGAGTCCGGCGCCGGGCCTCCCCGGGGACCAGCGCCAGCGGTACCACCCGCGGTAGGTGAGGTACCAGCAGAGGGTGGCGAGGGCGGCGCCGACCACCTTGTGGCTGTATTCGTGGAGGTAGACCACGGTGCAGGCCAGGAGGAAGTTCCACAGCGCCAGGAGGACCACGTTGAGGAGGAAGATGAGGCGCAAGGGGACTCCGGCGGGGTGGCCGTGGGCCAGGTATCGCCGGAAGACCGAGGTCTCCTCCACCATCAGCAGGCAGCAGAAGGTGAGCAGGAACGTGTGGCCGGAGACGTCGTAACCGTGCCATTTGTGGCCCTGGTGCAGACAGGTCCACTTGTCGGGAAGAGAGTTCACCAGGATGCCCTCGGGCAAGGGGTCGAAACAGTAGCCCGTGAGGTTCTCGATGAGGAGGAAGGTCTCCGTGGCGCCCAGCCACAGCCCGGCCCCGACCGCCAGGCGGCTCAGGTGGCGCGCAGTGAGCAGGACCTGGCGCGTGGCGAGGTAGACCACCGGGAGGAGGAAGCCGCCTAAGAAAATGCATGTCCAACCCCAGGCGGACCGGACAAATTTTCTGCAAGGGGAATAAAAAAGAGCAGAGAAGACCAACGGGTAAGAGGGAGCCGGAGCAACAGCGGCAGATGGAAAAAGCCCACAGGCCGCCACTACCACCCCCTCAGCCGCCTCGGGTCCTTTGAAGGAGAAAGACGGGGCAGAAAATTTTAAAATGCATCCCTTTTTCCAGATTGACGCGGTTTTCCAGAATCTGAGAGGCAACAGCGACAGGAGCGTGCAAGGGGGTCATCGAGAGACCTAGGTAATGCCAAGGCGCTAGCCCTGCTACAGAATAAGGCCAAAGCACCCCCTGAAGGGGTCGACGGGGCACAATCCAGATCCCCCGCTCTCTAAATATCAGCCGTTGTGTGCCATCAAGTCAGAACCAACTTAGAGTGACCCTAATAGCGCTTTCCAGGTAAGATATTTACGAGTCATTGGTTTACACCAGTTTCACACACCCCGGTCACTTTCCATGGCTAAGCAGGAATTCAAATCCTAGTCTCCAGATGTCAAGTTGGTCATCTCTGTCCATTCCACCCCACTGGGTGCTATCGCTAAATAGGGGTACCCAGAAATAAAGGTCCCATATATCCGACCCGTGAAACTTAAGATCATCGGAAAAGAAGTTACAGCAGAAGAGGGGATGCCTAAAAAGTCCGGAGACCCATGGGCCTCCAAACCTAAGAGATCTTTTGCGTGTTTCATGTTGACCAGGGGTTTGCAGGAGAGCAGCTGTTCTGCGAATGGGCTGGGCTGAAATTCAAGGGCCGAATTTGTATTTACAGCACAGCTGTAAAGCTGAACCCGCAATTCCTCAGAGGGATCCCTCGTTCAGCTGGGTGCTGATCCGACCGAGCAATGTTGGGGGGGGGGTTTGCACAATTCCTCAGAGGGATCCCTCGTTTAGCCGGGCGCTGTTCCGACCGAGCAACGTTGTTGGGGGGTTCGAAGACGCAGTGATGCAAATGGGCCCAGCAGTGTTTGGTGGGGGCTGCTGCTCATATTGCCAGAAAGATCTCCGGGCTCCCAGTAGCACTTCTCCAAATCCTACACCACCACCCCCGCCCGGCACACACGCGCACACCGAGGAGGCAAGGCCTCCAAGGCTCACTCACATGTTAAAAAAGTTGTGATGGTTGGCGAAGATCGCCCGGGGGTTCACGTAGAACTGAAGCAGCGGCCCAAAGATGACGACGGCTGCGAGCCAGACGTGGTAAGCTCGCCGGAGGCACGGCACGCCCAACAGCCAGGCATACTGGTTGCTCCAAAAATATACCAAGCCCCGGCAAAGGGCTTGGGCCCAGCCGGCTGCCGTGGCCAAGAGAGAGGAGGGCCGATTCGACCTGGATCCCTCAGCCATTTTCCCAGGTTAGCCTCCCCTCTCCAGGGAACCCCGGAAATGCCGGATGACCCTGCCGCCTCTGCCTGGGGAGGAAAGGGAAAAGGGTGGGTGGAGAAAGGTCACCCGAAAACTGATGTCCCACGACAGCTGTAGGGATCATCGTTTCTGAGTTTGGAATGAACAGCTGATGGCGAGAGGAGACAAAATGGCAGGGCAAAGGAGGAGGGCAGACCTTGAGATAGTTTCCTTTTTTCTAGACTACATTTCCCAGAATCCTCTACCGTTTCCCCAAAAATAAGACCTAACCTGAAAATGAGCCCTAGTAGGATTTTTCAGGATGCTCGTAATATAAGCCCTACCCCAAAATAAGCCCCATTTAAATGAAACCCTGCCCTCCACCATGGTGCAGCAACCAGAAGATAACATGACTGTATTTGAATAAATGTAGATGGTCATACATAGAAAAAAAATATCCCCTGAAAATAAGCCATACTGCATTTTTGGAACAAAAATAAATATAAAACCCTGTCTTATTTTTGGGGAAACACGATATTAATATCCTTGAGCAAATTATGGAGATTGTAAGGGACGGTTAATGAGAAAAGGAGTGGTCTACACTGGGGGGGACTTGAAGCTATTCTGCTTTGTGAATCCCTGCAACTCTGCTTTGCAGCTTGAGGAATTTAACCAAGAATTCCAAAATCTTAACACACACAAACCTGCACAGAAAGAAAATTTCAGCAACTTTTTATTGACACCAACCAGTTTGCACAGATGGATGGAGGTGGGCAGGTCGCCCTTCTGCCCAGGGACGCTCCCCCTCCCATCACATCTTGTATAAACAACCCCTCTTTTCAAAGGGGCCAGAAAAGCTCTCTCTTTAAACTGAGAAACTAAACTAAGATCCCTGCCCCATCTACTCCAAACTTAAAAACAGGACTCCACTCTAGTTTGAATTTATTTGTTAAGCGCAAATCGTGCATCCTGGGGAATATTTTCAAGTCTCCTCTGTTCCCTTTACATCCACCGCAGTGGCAAGGGGAGGAGTAACAGCTATATCGTTTCAAACAGGAAGCAAAATGAGGCCGATATATCTGGATATATCCCCCAACTGGGACACAGTTGGGTCACCTTCGCCTGGGTAAGAAAGGGGTGCAAAACACAAACTTCCCAAACACCCCATTCTCAAGAAACCTGATGCTCCAGAAGGATGGAAGGGGGCCAGGGGTGCAAGAGACACGTTAATGCTAGAGGACCGAAGGTGATGTGTGTGTGTGTGTGAGAGAGATTTCAATGCAAAGAGAAAAGCATCAGAGGGACAGAAGAGAAACAAACTGAGGGAGGCAGTTTCTGGGGTGTGGGTGACCCCAGATCATCTGGATGCCAGATGGGAGATGATGTGTCCGACATGAGTCTCCATACCCCAATGGACATGGGAAACTTTTATTTTCATCACCCCTGAGCAAGCCATTTCCCTGGAAAAGAGAGAGAAATCTACCCTTGGAGAGGGGGAAAAAAAGCCACACCTGAAGATTTCTGCTCCAAAAGTTGTACTTCACGACTGCAAGGAGCCACAACAGAAGAACAGGACTAGATAAAGATAAATCTCCCTGACTGGCTGTGATCCGGGTTGGAAATTTTGCTCGCTGGACTGGGAAGAGGAGGGTGGGCACCGGAAAGGGCTCCTTCGTCCAACCCTTGCCCCCCCCGAACTCTAACATGCCATTCGGAAAGGAACGAGGGAGCCTGCGCTGGTCTTTTTCCACCTTCTCTGCCAGGTCAGTCGGCCAGTCTCACCCCTTGGGACACTTATCCCTCTCCTCAAAGCCAAAGAAGACCCACAGAGGGTTGCGGGGGGGAAGTTGTGCTTCCGGCTTGTCCATGATTTTGCATCTCAATCTTTGTGTACCCCCAAGGGGTAGGTTCCAAGCTCAATAACAAGGGTCCACCCTCCTGAGCAAGAAATCCAGAAATTATACCGGGGGGGGCTGTTTTGATTAACTCTTCCCTCCCTTGGCAATCAGTCCATGATCTGATGCTTCGCATCTTCAGAGGGCGACGGCCTTCACTCACCAATCACCCTCTTGATTTATAAGGGACAGAAGACGTGTGTAGCTTGATGGGGGGCATAGGAAGAGAACCACTCTCACCCACCCCCTCTGTTCCAAGGCCACCGGTAGCACAATGTAGATTTTTTCCCTCCCCTCCCACTCAGCAAGTCCAAAGCTGGAGAAGGGGGGCAAGCAGTGGAGAAGGTCTACTTCTCGGAGAACGCTTAGGGCAGCTTTCTGGTGCTTGGGAGCTGCTGAGGGTCCTCCAGGTCGTCTTGATCATATTCCGTTTGGTGGTATTCCCACAGCCGGATATTCCCATCCCACTGCCGGGGGAGAGAGAGAGAGAAAGTTAGTTTGTTCGTTATTAATCATTTCCACCAAAATGTTAAATTAAAACCGTGTCTCCATAAAAACCTTCAGGGAATTTCACATTTTGATCTTTTACATCAAACCAAGTTGCAAGCCTTGTCTTGCTTCTCTCCTGCACCTCAAAAAGGTGCAGGCAGGAACTTCCTGCTTTGATTTCCCCACTGCCAGCACCACCACCTTTCTCAGGCACTTCAAGGCAGACACAGCCCGTGGAGAACCTCAGGCTGCAAAATTGGAAAAAAAAAAAAAAACACCAGGGCAGGGGCTATAGTGGGCCTAAGGAACTCCCTCCCATTGTATGGCTTTATCCCAATCATGGGACCCAAAGCAGCTGATTATCATGGTGCCAAAAACAAAAAACAAAACCCCAAGGCAGGGACTATAGTGGGCCTAAGGAACTCCCTCCCATTGTATGGGGAAGAGCCTCTTGTCTCTTAAAGGGACTCCAGATGTGGAAAAAAGGAGTCAGAAGGCAAATAAAACACAGGGCTGTGTTTTGTGTGTGTGGCTAAGGAGAGTGGAGCTCCCAGACAGATTTGTAAGGCAGAGGAAGAGCAATCACAGCGACTACAAGGCCTGGGCCAGGTGCCTTTGAGTCAGGATTCCCCCCCCCATGGTCCCCCCTGCTTTCTGCTCCCTTATCAATACTTGCCGAGCTACTGACAATCTTCTCCTCATAGGGGTGCCAGCTGACGTCCCGGACGCAAGCTTTATGATTGGTTAGCTTTGTCACAATATGGCCAGTCAGGAGGTCGTAGACTAGAGGGGAAGGAGAAAAGGACAGTCTGTGGAAGCCTTTCCAACGTATTTATTCATCCATTGTTTATATCCCACCTTTCTTCCCAACTAAAGGGCCCAAGGGGGCTTGCAAAATGGCACGGGGGGAGGGGGCAAAATCCCACCTTCCAACTAAAGGGCCCAAGGGGGCTTGCAAAATGGCACGGGGGGAGGGGGCAAAGATTCATATATTTAAAATGCTATTAAAGCATATTAACATTTAAAAACTTTTAAAATTACTTTAAAAATAAGAATAAAAACACACATTAAAAAGCGAGAGAAAACCAAGCCATCTCTTGTTAAAAACTCCTTCCAGTCCAGTCCAATTGCCAAATGCTTGCAAAAAAAGGAGGAGGAGGTGGTTTTGCTGCAGTAGTTAAGTGCCAAAGAGGCTACCCACCTTCTCCGCATTTCAAAGTTTGAGTTTTCCTACTCTACCCCCTTGGAAGTACACTTTATCCTCCCCGAGACCTAGCAGCCCCGTTCATGAGCTATGTACCACCTGGGCACATGACACTTCAAAAAGGCTCCCTGCCCGAAGTGCTTACGGTCAAGAGTTTAACATTGGATAAATCTAAAAGGCAAACAGACATGGCGCTGTGACAAGCCAACAGACAGCGATACCCTTTTAGACTGAGCCGAACTCTTCATCCTGCTAGAAGCAGCTGTCCATAACCAGGACAATGCTTATGCCCGTCGAGACAGGTGTAAAAGCAGCCCTGGTTTAGACGTCCCTGCCCTTCGGAGGTCCAAGGGCTCAAGAAGAAGTATAGCAGGAGGAGGAGGAGAAGCCATCTCCAAAGATGAATGGCTATGCCCAGCATCACCAGTCAGGTCGGTGGGCACTGGAATCTGACGTATAACAGAGGGTGTCTGTTTTAAGAAAGGCCACTACAAGGTTTTATGGAAACAAGCAGCTGCAGCAATGAATGGAGAGAGAAAAAGGGAAAGAGCCTGGAAGCAACGCTGGAGGAGGGCAGAGTGTGTGAAAGTGGCAAAAGACAGTTTCAGGCAAAGGGCTGCAGAAGAAGGGGTGGGCCCTCTGAGGGAAGTGGGTCTGGATTGGAGAAGGGGGAGAGGCATCTGTCATGGGAAGGGGTCTTGCCCATGAATGAAACCAGAGGGACAAAGGCAGGGAGCGGGAGAGGTCAGAGCAGTGGAAAAACTCAGCCAGCAATGCCAAAGAGCTCCTGCTAGATGTTGGAGTTAAGGGGAATACGCCAAGGGAATTAAAGGTGGGGCTCACCTAGCCGGATCAGCCAGAGATCCCTGAACGTTTTGTGCAGTGTCCTTTCATACACCGTTGTCACTGGAGAGCACCCCGTTCAAATGATTCAACAACCCTCACCCTCTATTTGAAAAGGAGGTTTCATTTCTCTAGGTCCTCTCATCCCCTGCCTGCCAACGGCACCTCCAGTCTGAGAGGGCTTCCTCTCATGCTGCTGCTTTGTCTTGAGCCCTCAGGCATTAAAAAAGGGCAGGACCTTCTAATCCGCAGTGGCTTTTACACGAGTCTCAAAAGTGATGCAAGGGCTCTTCTCTTCCATGCATGCAGACCACCGGAGGCTCCGTTCCCAGATATCTGCAGGGCAGGGCCTGATCTCTTAGAAAGCCGGCCCATGTGCGGGGCTACCCGTCCGGCTCCGCCTAGGGTGGAAAACGCCTCAGTCCCCACCCCGTCCTCCCCTCTGGCCCTTGATCACTTACCCACTACCTTGCCGGTGGAGCAGCCGCTATAAATGTACTGCTGTCCTGTGCTGTGCGCCGGGGAGAAGCGGCAGCGGATCAGAGTGTGGAGAACCCCGTGGCCCCGATACGTCATGAGGGAGGTGTCCCCGGGAAGCTTGGACTTGCGCTGTGCTGGGGGAGGGAAGAAAAGGAGAGGGGAGGCCGGCTGCCCTTGCGCCCTGAGCTGTTTCCCCCTTTCTCGAGGGAAACCCGGGGGGTGGGGGGAATACGCTGTTTCTTTCCGGCCTCCGCATCTTTGCTCTGCTGGTGTGTCTACAAATCTACCCACCTTTTTTGGGCACTTGCTGCCAGCGATAATCCCAGTTCTGCTGGGTAACCGCTTGGCGGGATGCTTCGAGCCCCTCATGGCCCGAGAACCTCCGCATGTCCCACAGCTTAATTGTCTGGTCCTTAGAATTAGAGATGAGATACCGGGCATCTCCCTGGGAGAGAAAAAGAGGGAAATGACTGTTTACAGGATTATATGACACTGATAATCTCACGTAAATGCTTGTTCATAATCCCTTAAAAGGAGGCATGTGACACCTTTCGAAATGGTACGTATTATTGATCACAATGTGAGGTTTTTCTGAACGACAGTCCACTTCCCAAGATGTACAGATTATATAACCCAAGGGGCTCCGGTACGCATGGCATGAAGCCAGCAGGAGAATACTGACCATGAGGGCAGAGTTAAACAAAGACAAAAGATCAATCTATTACCATCAATGATAAACAAATATTTTATTTATAAATAAATACTTTAATTTATTTAAAATATTTATTTAATTTAACTCATTTCAAATATTTATATCCCACCTTTCCTCTAGGAAAGACTGAGTCATTGCTATGGACAAAATTATTGGCAAAACCGCAAACGTAGCAACTGAAAAGGTTCTACATCTGTAACAATCAAATGTGGATCCTAAACGGACACAGCAGTTTCCTGAAGAACACAAACGACTCCACTGAACATCAGTCAAGGAACACTGTGGTCCCAAGGCATAGATTTTTTTTTAAAAAGACGCATCAATAATCAGAGCTTCTAGAACCGGTTTCGAAAGCAAATCTTGCAGGATAAACCAAGGCGCCACCTGCCCCCGTCAAGACTCAGAAGCACACCTACTTTGCTGTCTATGAAGGTGATGCCATCTTGGTGTCCAGCCAGGATCCCCACTGGCCGGGGGTCGTCCTCGCGCATGGTGCGCCGGTCCCAGACTTTGCAGATGGCGTCGTCGCCCCCGGAGAAGAGGATGTGGGAACTGGTGTCGGCAAACGCCACGGCATTCACGTCGTCTTCATGGGCCTCAATCTGGGAAGGCAGGACGAAAGGAGAGAGAGAGATTTTCCAGCAGAGGGGAAGCCAGGCTATCCCATGCTGAACACCAATGCACAGACACCACGGAGGCATGCATATCTTGGGCACCAAGAGCCCGTGAGAGAACTCTTTGAGCTCTCAAATAAATCAGAGACTTCTGGGCTCAAAGAAAAACAGCCCAAAACACATGCTACTCAAGTTTGATTTCTAATATCAAGGATCAGGTAACTCATGATTAAAATTGTCCCCACCCTATCCCTGCATTCAAAGGTTGCTGCCATTCCGAGCAACAAAACTGAGGTACAGAAGCAAACAGTCTGATCCAGTAAACAGTGTTGACGATTATCATTACAGAACAATGACCTGAAAGCTTTTTACAGTGTATTCCAGAGTACGTGAAATCACATTATGTTGTGGGAGCAAACGGCAGCTACGAAATGCCAGATATGTCCCTCGTTGTTTTCCTGCTCGCCTATGAGCCAAGTGACCAGACATGTGACTATGGGCCTTTGTTCATTAGCTACAATTGGCCACTGTGGTTGACTTGTTTTCACTTACTTCAGAGTAACATCTTCATAGGAAGCTGGCTAACATTCCCTATGTAGTAATAATATTTATAACATTTAAAATATTATGATAGGCATACTAATTTATAATTATGGCTACAAATCACTTTGATCGGACTTCTCGGTTTTTAAAGATAAATGGAACATTAAAAGAGAGAGAGAGAGATGCCAAAGAAGCCAGAAGGGAAACAAAGCCTGACAGATATACTGGCCTTTGCAAGTCCCAGGGAAGAAAGAACAAGAAATGGATGAATGATAGGAAATGGAAGGGATGTGCTGAAGAAGCGACAGGGGTGTCAGCATTAAAAGTACCTTGAGCGTCCGCTTATTCTGCTCCATGTCGAACACATAGACACAACCGTAGTTAGCCCTAGGATTAAAACCATAACAGAACAGCTGAAGAACAAATCTAAATCCAGAGTGACACAGAAGCTAAAGTGGTGAATGGAGTGGTGGATGTCTGTAAAATGAATGCAGCAAGGTTCAGATTCATTTTTGTCCCATCCTTCCATGAGGGGAAAAAAAAAACCAAGAATCCTCTGGGAAGAACAGAAAACAAAAGTCACAAGACACCACCGGGTGACATCACAGAAATGCTACAGAACATCCGTGGCAGCCTCTCTCCAGTGCCCGTTCCACCTGGATCTTCCTTTAGCCTCGCTGCTGCGGGGGGAGGGCACATCGAGTGAGGCAAGGAAGGCCTGAACTAGAACGCAGAACCTTCTTGGTTGTCCACCCCACCCCACTGCGATGTGCACCTCGGAATGGCCTCTCACTAGAGATCTGGCAGGCCTCCTCCCTCCAGAGCTTCAAAAGACAGCTGAAAACCACACTCTTTAGGGAGATGCCTTTAAGGATCTTCTTCTCCTTGATGACGGTACCCCGCAACCCTGTGCCACTCTCTCTTCCATTTGGTTTATTTTCTGGGTTTGGGGATTACTTTTATTTATTATGTTTGAGGAATGGTGGGGGGCTAGGCTTTATATGATATTATAATGACCACCTAGAGTAGTCGTCCCACTAAGTCAGGTGGGATATAAATGTTAGACATAAGCAATGGAAGGGATTTGTTTTGTGGGCTGCCACATGGAAGACACTGGTAGGCCCTGCCCCTGGAAAGGAAGAAGCAGGAGAGGATTCCTGGAATCCTCTTGGCCACAGGGATCAGGACGGATGGGAAAGAGATTTTAAAAATCCATGGGTCAGGACAGAATAAATCAGTGTCCCATTTTATTCAAAGCTCAGCAGACCTGCAGAGTTTTATGCATTCTGGGTAAAGTGGTGGCTCCAGGAAGTGGCTAAGCAACAGCTTAGCCTGGAAATGTTACTCTGGGAGATGACGGCTCCCAGAATCCCCTGCCTGGCCCTTATCAAAAGTAACATTTGCCAGATGAGGGCAAAAAGGCTGGCTTACCCGCCAAGAACTTCTTTTCCATCTGAGGAGACTGCAAGGGAAAAGACGGCAAAACGGCGCTCATCAGGCCTGGGAAGAGAAGAAAAAGACTAGAATTGGAATTAGAACCTCTTTTAACCAACAAAAACCGCTGGGGCCTTGCCTTTTAACTACCTCAGATCCAGTGCTGTGTGGGTCCCGTTCTCACCATAGATGTTGCAGATATGAACTAAAGAGAGAGAGAAAGATCACGAGGGCCCATTCTCCCTGAGGAGCCCAGAACAGAGGGCTCCATGCCCCCTCCCAGGAAAGTGGACACACTCACTGTAGTCGGACCAGCTGGAGTAAAGGAAATGGGCCCCATCTGGAGTGAAGGCGACGTCCAGGACGCTCCAGCCGACGTCCCGTGCTTTCACGCTCCGGAACTTCCGGAAAGCTCCATAGGTGCAGTCATACAAGCGGATTCTTTGATCTGGAGAAGGCGAGCAGGAAAGGGAACAGGAGATGCTGTAACTCATGATACCAAGTAACTATGTTAGTTTTAATTTAAGCCTCGTGGCTATCCTGCTTCCCTTAAAATAAAACCTAACCTGCAAATAAGCCCTAGTATGATTTTTTACGATGTTCGTCATATAAGCCCTACCCTAAAAATAAGTTCGTCATATACAGTAAGCCCTACCCTAAAAATAAGCCCCAGTTAAGTGAAACCCTACCCTCCAACCTTGTGCAGCAACCAGAAGATGACATGACTGTATTTGAATAAATGTAAATTGTTGTACATGAAAAAAATAAGACATCCCCTTAAAATATGCTCTAATGCACTTTTTTTTTGGAGCAAAAAATAATATAAGACCTTGTCTTATTTATGGGGAAACAGGGTAGTTTTATGTATGATCAATACTAATATGGCTACAATGTGCACAAGGATTCCCTCTATTTCAGCACAACAGTAACAACACACAACTCTTTATTTTACAATTTAAGGTAAACCACAATCTGCTGAACAGATAAGATGTCTGGATGAGAAAACAGATGCTTATTACATACTGTGTGTTAATTGCCTTCTTTAATTGCAAAGATGTTTGCACTTATTACTCACATTCATTAATTGTACTTTCCATATCCATCTTTGCTTTGATCCCACCCCAGCCGTATACACTGTACATATATACCCAAAGTTTTAATACTGTACCTCGCACATATGACAAAACAGACTGATTCTAACAGGAGTTTCCGTGGATTACAATACTTTAGTCTTAAAGTTGCCAGATAACGTTGTTGTTTTGCTGCAACAGACTTAAGGTAGCTCCCCCGTTAATAACTCCATCTACCCAACATCCCACCAAATATGTTTCCAATACAAAAGGAAACAACAGCAAAGTTATCTTACAGCATCTGACCATGGATATTAATAATTACAGGAGATTCCTCCTTGAAGGACAATGGCTTTGGAAACAGCTGAGAAGCTGCATTACAGACAGAGTGTCCAGACAAGATGTCCACAACAACCGTATACAACAACAATGCTCACAAGTAGCACGTTTGTTTTTAAAATCAAATCCCAAACCATACAAGATACCTTGACAAGCAGACATAAACAATCGTCCATCACGGGAATAGATCCCACAGAAAGCCTTCTGGGAATACAAGTCTGTGAAGGCCAGCTGGTTGGGAAGAAAGCTGGAAGAGGAGGAAAAAAAAATCAAGGTTGGGTTACCATGGGAGAGGTTCTTCCTTATAATCATTTTGCCCTAATCTCATCTAACTAACCCAAACCCTCCTGGACCCCGATTACTCACTGTGACACAACTCGTGAGCACTCTCCTGGAGAGAAGCTGCCATGATGACAGAGGCCACGTTCCCGCTGCAGGGAGAGGAAAAGGAAGCTGTGTAAGAACTCACAACACCTGGCTCACAGTCTCCTACTAAGGAGCTTTTATCAGTGAGAAAAATTGCCCACATAAAAGCAAAGGGAAGTAGTGTCACATTCAAATAACTCATCAATAGGGGTTACCCATAACTTGCCCGCTGCTTTTTAATACCATGGAAGAAGCCAAGGAGGAGGCTCCCACACCTCATACTTCATCTGCCCACCCGTTTTGCCACATGCATTTCATTGTTTCCTTTATAGGTAGGAGATCCACTGCAGTCAAATCACTGTGGGATCTTGGGTCCTGGAAACGACTGGGCAGAATCGCTGGACTGCAGCCCAGCCTATCAACCCTGAAGACCACCCAGCCGCTTAGATCCCGTTGCCTTCCAGACAGTAGACAAACCCTTAATACCAGGCATGTAATCCCGGCACAAGTTGGCTAATGCAATGCCAGTTCTTTCCTAACCCACTTTTCGAATCTCAAAGAAGTGACCAGGGCACCTGAGAAAGCAGTCTGGGGATACTGCAGTCAACTCGCCCTGTTCCCAGCCTGCCTGTCGCCAAATGGATGCGTGTTTTGATCTCGTTGCACTCCAGATCACGGGTGTCTGGTCTCAAGTCCACTGCAGATGATTAGAGGCGGGGTGGGGGGGAGAAGGGGGATCAGTGACCACACTGCCAACTCATTTTATCCCTCATGAAGCCATGGTGCTCACAGATTTTCAACAGTATATTTTGTCATTGCACAGACTAGACATTTAGTTATCCATACATACTGAGATTTTTCAGACGGCCATATCACCGTGCCCAGAATCAGACCTGAGGCTTGGATGATACCATCCACTATATACAGCTTTGGGTACAAACCGCTGGGCTCCAGATCCCGGCAAAGTTAGGAGCGCAAAAACTTAAAACTGACGTAACCCTCGGGTCTGACTTTCCAGACCAAGCTCTCCTCCAAAATTATGCATGAACCCCAACCATCTTACTAGTCTCAGACACAACCACTAATATTTAAAACAAGGGTGGGCATGTGCAAAAAGTTTCAGGGCTACATCCATTCCCTCCATCTTGTGAAATCAGAAGTGACAAGGAGGTTACTTCCCGTTTTCCAAAAGTGGCATTTCTGATTCAGCATGGTTCTGTCTATTGGAAGGGGGTGGCTTATAAAAGAACTCCACCCACAGAATGCTCTGGAGCCACAATTCTATTGGTACAAAAAACAATTTTTTTAACCAAGAGGTCTACAGAGGCTGCATGCACCCAAGGCCTCAGCAGGCCATGCGTGGTTTGTGGGGTGCCCAAATCTCCCCTACAACACAAACCTTTCGTGCAGCCACACTAAAATCTTAACAGATACCTGGAGGTTTGTAGTGATCTCCCAGACGCCCTTCCCATGCACTGTCATTGTCATCATCTGAGTCGGAGAGGGTCTGGAACACCCGGACACTGGCTGCTCCCCCACCCTGCATCAGGTGAAAATGTCCTCTGAGGAAAACACGGAGGGGAAAATGCAATTGAGGGTTACAGATTTTTTTTTGCCCCAGACATCTCTCCCATGTTACAGCTCACTTGGAAGTAATGGACAGAAGCAGACGTCAATTTATTAATTTCCTGGCCAGTTTATGAGGTTTCAAAGGAGCCCAGATGTTCTTGGACTATCATTCAATTAATTTCCTGACCATTTCCAATGGTTCCTAAGCCTAGGAGCCCAGATGTTCTTGGACTATCATTCCAAGAAGACATAACCAGGCAGCCAATGGTTAGGACCACAGAACTTCACCCAACAAGGAAAGCTGCAGGCCATAGAATAATATCAGAGATCCATCTTGTCTATGAACAATTACTCAAACCCAAATAAAAACAATCTTCCCTGAGGAATTTAGACACAGCAGAATTTTAGAATTAATAAAGAATTTTCTCTTCTGCTCAACAACATCCTCACAGGATTTGATCATAGCACTTCCTAGAAATTCTTAAAGGAACATTTACACATCCTTCCCCTGACATGTATTCTCATTTTTATTGTAGCATCCTCTGCTTTCAAGAAGTCTCCATTTCATATTATGCTATCCAACATTATGCTTTATCATAGGCTGGTGTGAACTAGGTTGTGACCCTTAACACCAATCATATATCTATTTTATTTATTTCATTTAGTTACTGCATTTTAAAGCCTCCTATTAACCAGAGCCCTCTGGGCCATCTGGTACACACTTCAAACCTATTATCCCCCATGCTTTTTACTGAATTAAACAACAATTACTGTTTCTTTAGGCAGTATACAGCAATACATATTCCCATATCTCCTTAAAGAAGTGACACAACTGCTCCCAGGCAGAAACATCCTAATTCTAAAATCTTAATTTCATGCAAAAGAATCTCAGTGGAAAGGTCAACAAAGAATCCATTTCTGAGTAATGCCTAAAAAGTCTCCCTGCTAACTACTATCAACAGATTCTACTTATCAAGAGAACTATGTTTTATTTGTTCCAGACTAACAGATCCGACACACACACACACACAAAAGCATGCTAAATTGCTGTCCGCTTCCCTTCTTGTGACTCTGCTTCTTGGGAAACACACACACAAAAAGCATGCTAAATTGCTGTCTGCTTCCCTTCTTGTGACTCTGCTTCTTGGGAGAAAGGCTCCATACCTCCTTGCACGGCTTTCTTAAGGAAGCCTCCCTGTGACACACAAGCCTCCAAGACCAAGGGGTGTGTGTGTGTGACATCTTTCCCCCTTATCCATAAGGTGACCGGAAAGGGGCAAGGGGATGAGTTACCTGCGCAGTAGATATGCCAGTACCTGGGCCAGATCCACATCCTCGTCGTCGTCTTCCTCGCCACGCAGGCTCCCAGAGTCCCTCGGCAACCAGCTGCCCTGGTTGTCCCGTCCTCCTGCGCCAGCGTTGCTACTGCTGCGGGAGCCCATGTCTTACGGCATTCTCCAGATGGGGGGTCAAGCTCTGGGACTCTCCCTTCCTGGAGCTCAGGTAACCAAACGGCAGGGAGGGCGATTTCCTGAAAGGGAAAAATGCTGAGCCACTAAACCAGAGGACTTTGGACACCGTCAGGGCGGGGGAAGAGGCCTGGTTTGCTGTCTTTTTCCCTCCTCCCTCTACGAAGCCAGGCCCAGCCACTTACCCACCCAAACCCTCCTTAGGGTCCAAGGTGGCTCCTTCCTAGGCCCCCCCAGGCCCTCTCCACACCTCCCTCAAAGCCTCTGACCCAAGCCCCCAGCTCCCTAAAAGCTGTTCCCATGACGGGGCCGGAAGCTCCCACAACTCAGCCCCACAGTTTTCTCTCCCCTCCCCCCCCAAAAAAAACCGCTTCGGGCCCACTTCCACCGGGCTCCCCCTTCACTTGATCCCCTCCCTCTTGGTGGGGGCCTCGAAGGATGTCTCCACACCTCCCTCAAAGCCTCTGACCCAAGCCCCCAGCTCCCTAAAAGCTGTTCCCATGACGGGGCCGGAAGCTCCCACAACTCAGCCCCACAGTTTTCTCTCCCCTCCCCCCCCAAAAAAAACCGCTTCGGGCCCACTTCCACCGGGCTCCCCCTTCACTTGATCCCCTCCCTCTTGGTGGGGGCCTCGAAGGATGGGATGTT